TCCTGCTGCAAGCCCCACTGCCTCAAACGCAGGCACGGCATGCCGGGCCTCCGAGATTTCTTCCGCGGCTCCGCGGCGGAAGAGAGCCCGGAGCTCCTCCCCAGATGCTCGATGAGGGTTTGGGGTTTAGGGTTTAGGGTTTTAGGGTTGAGGTTTTAGGGTTGAGGGCTTAGGGTTGAGGGCTGAGGGTTTAGGGTTGAGGGCTTAGGGTTCGGGGTTTAGGGTTTAGGGTTGAGGGCTGAGGGTTCAGGGTTGAGGGCTTAGGGTTCGGGGTTTAGGGTTTAGGGTTGCGGCACTCGTGGGTCCTCTGCTGACACATCCTCAACGGCCCGGCCAGAAAGCTTGGCAAGGGCTTCCAGGGCTTCTGTGCTGGACAGGCATGCCTCCTGCAGGCAACAAACTCGTGCGCTTTCAATTTTGGGCCCGTCAAAAGCATAAGGCATAAGGGCTTTTAGGTTTTGAGGTCGGGGAGGAGGGGGAGGAGGGGAGGGGAGAACGGGGGGGTGGACAAACTTCCGGCTTTTGGCGTAGAGGGTTTAGGGTTCGGAAGCCTGGGCTTTGGCTGGCGTGCACCCGGAGCACAAACCTGGGTTTGGGGTTCAAAGCAGCTCCAAAAAGCCCCATGAACTCTCAGGTGCATGTTCCTTGGCCCTGAAGATGGGGGGGCCTCCGGAGTTCGGAATCATGTTCGAACTTGCAGCAACAGGGGCTGCGGCTGAGGGTTCCGGGTTGAAGGGTTGATCCACCCCACCTTCGCCGCGTCCGTGGAGGCGGCCTCCGAGCATGCGCTGACGATGTGCTTCGCCTGCACGGCTTGACTTGCGATTGGGGGGGGCGACATAAACTCTTTCAACCTTCCTTGAGGTTCGAAACCCAAAACCCCTCAAAACCCCTAAAAGTCAGCGCGTGCACCTTTGATTGCGTTGGCGGACTCATGAACTTAGGGCACATCGCTAAGCACCATCCAGCCAGAAGCCTAAGCCCTGCTTCACCAAATAGAAGCCCCTCTCCCCAAATATATCAGCCCCCACCCTACCCCTGGTATTATACCCCCCATATACGATAAGATAGCTATACTGGGAGTATTTACTATTAGGGGGTAGGATTAGAGAATCCCTTTCTGGCAGGGTTGGGGGGGCGGGCCCCCTCTTGGGGTCAAAGCAGAGACACTGCCTGTCGGAGGGTCCGAAGAGCCCCAATATACCCCTTAAATAATGAATAGACCCGTAAATCATAGTAGGGATCCCCCTGTATCATTTATGAGAAACTCCTTAATTGATTAAGGGGTGGTGGGCCCTCGAAGGGTCTTAGGGTGGGTTTGGGGCTTGCTCGCTTTGCTGTGCGTGCGCGTTTACGATGCGCGTGCGCGTTTACGATGCGAGTGCTAGGAACAGCCCTTGGTCCCCAGCGCCTTCTCCCCAGCGATCTTCCGAATCTCCCCCTCCAACTCTTCGGGTGACACCGTCTCCTGGGTCGCAGACCGAGCTGGGCCCCATTCGACTGAGCCATGACGGAGCATCCTATGCTGCACCATGCCATGCTATATCTTCATACTGCACTACTACACCGCATTGCTAGGTTGCAGTATCGCAGCATGCTCGGCTGCCCTACGACCGCCTACGGCCTATCAGGCTTCTAACCCCTCAAGCCCTCCCCCTCCTCCTAAGATCCGAACAGCCTCACAGGTCAGAGACCTTCCGGCACCCCCCAACTACCCTTTAATGGAGGGGGCTTATATACCCTACTATCATGCTTAACGGGTAGTTGTTGTTTTTTTTTTTTTTTTTTTGGGGGGGGGGGGGGGACGGCATCTAAAACTGCTTTTTGGGGGGGGGTTTGGGGGAGGGGGGGGGGGGGGGCATCTAAAACTGCTACCGGGGGGTGGGGAGGGGGGGGGGGGGGTGCTGGCTTCAGGCTTCAACCAAGGCCAGGCGCGTTCTTGAGCTGCTCCAAGAGGGCCTTGATCTGCATCTTGCAGTCCTCGAAGGTCACGTTGAGCCCCGCCTTGCCAATGTCCCTAAACCCTAAACCTCAGCCATAAACCCTGAACCCTGAACCCTGAACCCTAAACCCTAAACCCTAAAACCCTAAACCCTAAACCCTAAACCCTAAACCCTAAACCCTAACCCTACCCTAAACCTTGAGCCCCGCCTTGCCAATGTCCATGGTGCAATTCTCCAAGGTGCCCAGGATGGCCCTCGGGGCCCCCTTCTCCTTGGTTTAGGGTTTAGGGTTTAGGGTTTAGGGTTTAGGGTTTAGGGTTTAGGGTTTAGGGCTTAGGGCTTAGGGCTTAGGGCTTAGGGCTTAGGGCTTAGGGCTTAGGGCTTAGGGAACCACATACCCTTCTTGGGTCCCCTAAGGGGTTCTTGTCCATTCGGGGTAGAAACGGGGTACCCCTATTTTGGGAAAGGCCCATATTCAAAAAAAAAATGTACAGTTTTTTAGGAATGCTTTCTTAATACGGGAACCCCTGAACCCCCCCAAAAAAAAGGGAAAAGAGTACCACTGGGCTGCCAAGTCTCCAGCTCGAAGCGCTCCTTGACTTTGTCCGGGGGAGGCATGGCCGTGGAGTTGCCGAACTGCTGGCGGCACTCCTCCGGCGTCTTCCCCGCCAGCCTGCATTCCACCAGGATCTCCTGACACTAAACCCTAAACCCTAAACCCGCCTAAACCCTAAACCCTAAACCTTATAAACCCTAAACCTTATAAACCCTAAACCCTAAACCCTAAACCGCAGGATCTCCTGGGCTTCCTCTCGCTCCTCCCTGGCCTCCCTGGGTGGCTTGGGCGGCCGTTGCTGGGCCACACCCGCCACCACCAGGGCCAGGAAAACGCACGCGCTGAGCTTCATCGCGGCCCGGGGACGTGCCTTGTTAAGTTGGAAACGGGCAGAGGAAAGCTACTCTGAGCCTTTACGCCTGCAGGACGCGAATGAGCGCTTGGCTGCCAGAACGCGACACTCAGGAGGCAGCACATTTAACGCCCACAACCCACAGCCATGCACCAACCATGCCTGACATTCCCTGCTCGATGAAGTAGTTGGACACGTCCTCCCAGCTCACGGCACCCTCGCCGTGCACATCTACATGCTGGAAGAGGTCCTGGACCGGGTTTAGGGTTTAGGGTTTAGGGTTTACGGTTTAGGGTTTAGGGTTTAGGGTTTTGGGTTTTGGGTTTTGGGTTTAGGGTTGACAACAGCATGGCCTGGCGCGCAGCCGACATGGCACAGTCATATGAGAGTGCTTGCCAGGTGCCTTGACTCAAACGGAAACACCTAAACCCTAAACCCTAAACCCTAAACCCTAAACCCTAAACCCTAAACCCGAAACTCCCTCAAATTCCCAAAACTCTTGGGGCGGTCCATGACGGCCGCTGCCTTTGTGGCACTGCTAAGCACAGGCTCCTGGCAGGCAGCAGGAAAGCGCTTGTAGGCCACAGGGCTTAGGGTTTAGGGTTTAGGGTTTAGGGTTTAGGGTTTAGGGTTTAGGGTTTAGGGTTTAGGGTTTAGGGTTTAGGGTCTTGCGGTAGACCTTCCCTGTAAGGAATTACGGCGGGGAGGCTTGAGATTTCCTTTGGGGGCCGGGGTGGTTCTGAGATGTTCCTCCTGCCCCTACTTGGAGTTTCAGGGCACTGATTAACCCGTTCGAACGGTACTGAGAACTGTACTAGACAGCCATATTTGGGCACTTAAGCGGCTTACAAGAGGGCTATAAGTACAGTTAGAATTAGCTCTGAAGTACCATGAACCTCCAAGTAGCCCTAAACCCTAAACCCTAAACCCTAGGTCATGCCCATGGTCTCCTCACCGGTGAGGTGGGCCGACTTGCCAGGCCGATCGTAACCACCCATGTCCAAGTTCCTGCCAACATGCGCATTGCAAGGGCGTTTGGGGTTACGTAGTGGTTCACGGTTTAGGGTTTAGGGTTTAGGGTTTAGGGTTCAGGGTCCAGGGTCCAGGGTTCAGGGTTTGCAGAAGCTCGTGGGCCTGGCCTCATCATGGCCTTAACAAACTGCTCGCCGTCCAAGACGCCCCCATTGTCAAGAAACTCCTCCTGCAAAACAAAGCACGCTTTCGGGCTTTCGGGCTTGGTAGCCCACTAGCCATGTCATAATCAGGGCACCCTTTTTTGGGTTGGTTGTTTCATAAGGGAACCTATAACCCAAAAAAAGGTTAAAGGGCACCACTGGGCTACCAAGCGAGTGAGATCCCAGAATGCATCGGGCAGTGCGCCCAACTCCTACAAGGGCCTGAGAGCGCTTTCAGACTATTTGGCTTGTGGGGGGGGCCGTGCGCATGCGTCCAAAACACTTGTTGCAAGGGGCCCCTGGGGGCAGAGAACGACTCCGCCTGCAGGAGTGACTTCCTGAAGCCCGACCGCATCTCTACGAAACAGAGAAGGCCGGTCGAACCCATGAAGAGATGGCCCCATGAAAAAATTAGAAAAGGGCTCTGGGGAGTTATTGTAGTATGATTTTCAAGGGACCCTAAGGGAATACCATTAGCAATCATATGGCCTTGACATGCTCCAGCAAGTCCGCCGACAAGTCGGTGAGCACGTGCCTGACTTACCATGTCCATTGCATGGCTCAGGCAGAGGCTGGACACCCGTGTGAAAAACATGTCACCTGGGCACCAACTACATTCGCTCGAAGAACCCAGCCAGACACTGCACCAAGCAAACCTACCTCTTGGAGACCCCAAAATGAAGAAGCCATCTTGCTTCAGCAGGACTGGCTCGGTGCTTCGAATGCCAATGTCTAGTCACCACAACAACTGTCAGAAGTTCGACGAACTGCGAAACCTACACCGACCCGAACCCTCAGCCAAAACACCAAGCCCCTAAACTCTTAAACCTAAACCCTAAACCCTAAACCCGAAACCCTAAACCCTAAACCCCAAACCCGCACAAGGCAGGCCCACGTTTCGGGGCGGTGGCGCTTCTCGCGTTTGGAATCGGCCTCACCGGATGAAAAGGCTGCTGGCGAGTCCCTGTGGGGACTCATGGCCCTAAACCCTAAACCCTAAACCCTAAACCCTAAACCCTAAACCCCAAACCCTAAACCCTAAACCCTAATGAGTTTCTGGGTTCCGGGTTTCGCGTTTCGGGTTTTGAGGGCTTTTTGAGTTCCTGAGGTGTAGGGAAGGATTTCTTGGGGCTCGGGTGGGTCCATGATACTACCAATAAGAAGGAAGAGAACAGTCAGAGAATGGTAAAAGTAGTTAAATTCTAGAGAGTAGGTAACATGCGACAATAACGGATAATGGTGAATGAAAAGTAACAACAAACAGCAGCTAACAACTACTCATAGGTAGTGAACATTGATAACAACTTATAGCTGGCTCTAAATAAGGGTTAATAAGTTAATACGAACGAAATTAGCAATGACCAATACGAAGTCACAAATACAGTCGAACTAGTTCAAAAACAAAGATACTGATGGCTTAAACAACTAACAAGAATCATAATTTTGAAAAACTGAAATGCTTGATACAATCGTCATAATATGTGGAATAGCCAGCGACATTCACTATGAAAAACGACTACTTGGAGGTTCATGGATACTTTTGACCCAATTAAACCCTATAACCCTAAACCCTAAAGTCAAACCCTATAACCCTAAACCCTAAACCCTAAACCCTAAACCCTAAACCCTAAACCCTATAACCAGACCCCAGAGAGCTGCACTCGCGCTGGGGTGTAAAGGTTTCTTAAGCTGAGGCATGAGTATTCTTGACTTTTGTACTCATAATATGTTACATATATCTGTATGTACATGTATATGTGTGGTGAGTGCTCTAAATTAGGGTCCTTTATTGGGCACCCTAAATATTAGGGGGCACCTTACAATAAGGACGGCCACATTTTCGAGAAGTGGCATGCGTGTTACTACCACTTAAGGGGTATAAGGAGGGACCCCTAGAAGGGACCCTTAATCTTATTCCCCTATATAACTAGATACCTAAGCAGTCCCTAAATAACCCCTCAATAACCCCTGAGGTCCCCTATAAGGGTCCCTCCTTTTGTCCCTTGAATCATGGCCTCGTAGGTTTTGGGGCGTGCCAGGTTGAAAGGCACACGGAGGCAAAGCCCACCTCGACCAGCGCGTCGCTGCTGCCAAACTTCCGGCTGCCGGACGCAGCGGGGGGCCTGGCTCACATTGGGGGGGGGGGGGGGGGGGGGGGGGGGGGGTGTATGTGTGGGGGTCACACGGCGCTAGAATGGCATGGATGACTAGAGCATGACAAGCCTTTCTGTCACTCCGGTAAAGCCCTAAAACCCTCCAACCCTCCAACCCTAAACCCTCGTGAAAAGCGGCGTCAACTCTAAAGCTCTGCAACCCGGGCAACTCACCAATCTCGCGTTCAATATCTGGGATAGCATTCACTTTCGAGGACTGTAGAGGGTTTCCCAAATATGGCGTGTTGTGTGTGTGTGAGTGTGTACCCTTTTTCTGGGGCTCCTATAGTAAGGATCAGAGTATGATTCAAAAGGGTATATTGCGGAGTGTCCCTAAGGGAACCAAGTACAAAGGGACTAACCCTAAACCCGAAACCCCGCGAATTGCTTCAGTTCGGGCCCTGGACCCTAAACTTTCTGGTTCTTCGTAGGCGGGAATGAGGTACCGTATGTCCTCCTTAAGGAGTACATGCAGGGTCCGAATTCCTCATTCCCTCCGCAGAGCCGGCAAAAGTAAAGCGCAGATGCCAGCCTGTCTTCTCTAGCCTGCAGGGCAGCAGTCTTCGGAACAGGGAGGCAGGCGAAAATGAAAGCCTTTGAAGCGTCTGGTGCCACAAAGAGGAGTCCCAAAAACTCGGCGCAGACGTGCCCACCCTCCTGAAGCTAGAACAACTTGGAGACAAGAATTGAGTCTGTGCCTGTTCCTGCAGCGTTGGCAGGTAGCTGTGCTTCGAAGGAGATAGTGCCCCACGGTGCCTCCGAGTGAGAGTCACACTCAAAGTTTCCTGCGGATCGGTTCATCAACGAAGTCACCCAGTTCCTAAATCCTAAACCCTCAATGACAGCAGGCAGAAAGCCGGATGCAGAGTTCCAAGGTCACCCGGGACTCAACATCAAGCTCGTCCCCACGCTACTCTTCCCCTGGACCCTGCCATTTGACCGCAGAAGACCCGTTGGAAGTCGCAGCTACACACAGACCAAACAAAACTCCAAACCCTCAACATCCCCCCCAACCCTACCCTAGACCCAAAACCCTAAACCCCAAATCCCAAACCCTAAACCCCAAACCTAAACCCTAAACCTTAAACCCCAAACCCTAAACCCTCAAAGCCCCCCACGCAGTTGACGGGATGCGTAGAGAGCGGAGCTCTGCATCCTGGCATGACCAGCACTTTTGGGTTGCCAAATGGGGGAGGAACTGGGTCGTTGGGTTAGCGTTTAGGGTTTAGGGTTTAGGGTTTAGGGTTTAGGGTTTAGGGTTTAGGGTTTAGGGTTTAGGGTTTAGGGTTTAGGGTTTAGGGTTTAGGGTTTAGGGTTTAGGGTTTAGGGTTTAGGGTTTAGGGTTTAGGGTTTAGGGTTTAGGGTTTAGGGTTTAATTTAATTAGGGTTTAGGGTTTAGGGTTTAGGGTTTAGGGTTTAGGGTTTAGGGTTTAGGGTCTAGGTTTTAGGGTCTAGGGGGTCTAGGCTTTAGGGCTTAGGGCTCTCGAAGGCAGAAGTATTTTCCGGCAGAACATCATAGCAGAACTTTGTGCAAGGTGGCGTCATTTGATTCCATAAAATGGTCTCAGTATTGATGCTGAGATGTTCATCTATCGGTTCGAGGTGCTTTAAAAACCCTAAACCCGAAACCCCTAACCCTAAACCCTAAACCCTAACCCTAAAGATTTAGAGAACCTCCCGCATGCATTGTAGCACTGCAGGCCCATAGTGCATACGATGCACATTGACCCTGAAGCAGAATTAGAGCTTGCGGAGTAGCTGGGAGTACCTGAGGGTGCAGGGCTTGACCCTAGTCCCTAAACCCTAAATCCTAAACCCTAAACCCTAAACCCTAAACCCTAAACCCTAAACCCTAAGCTCTAAACCCCAAACCCTTCATCCCAAGCCCCTCAACCTTGCTCTTCCTTTTCCTGGCCTCCGCGACCCAAGTGCGGGTTTGCGAAAAGAAGGGAACCCCCAAACAAAACGAGCAAATGTGCTGTGAGTATACATTCTGCTCATCATCTGAGTAGAAGTGGCCGACGGCTGGCAAAACAGAGGCTTACAAATAGCAGGATTCCCTTAGAATAAGGACCTCAATAAAACCCAAAACCCTAAACCCTAAACCCTAAACCCTAAACCCCAATTCCGGAAGCCCCCAATTCCCGAAGTCCCCTGCCTCCAGCGCGAGCTGCGCCTTCTTCCGCCCTGGGCGCATCTCCTGCGCCATCCTGGCGCCGTGCGGGTCAGACTCAGAATCTGAGTTTAGGGTTTAGGGTTCAGGGTTTAGGGTCTAGGGTCTAGGGTCTAGGGTCTAGGGTCTAGGGTTTAGGGTTTAGGGTTTAGGGTTTAGGGTTTAGGGTTTAGGGTTTAGGGTTTAGGGTTCAATGATGTTGATTGGAAGAATGATCAGCACGCATTGTCAAGATCGTCACGTTTGACTCTTCAGGGGTAGGTTTGAACACAGCTCCTAATTTGTATTACCCTCAGTACGCTATATTATCCTCATGAGGCCATCATTTTGTGTTGTTATAGGGCCCCCCAAACCCACCCAAGTCTTGCTATGACTTTGACGATTCTGAGTTGGGATGTTCCCCCTTGTCCTAACTGTCCTAAATTCGGGTTATAATAAGGGGTTTCTATATTCGCTATTCAGGACTCCTAAACCCTCAACCCTGAACCCTAAACCCTAAACCCTAAACCCTAAACCCTAAACCCTAAACCCTAAACCCAAACCCTAAACCCTAAACCCTAAACCATTCATCCTCATCGTCGTCATCATCATCATCACCATCATCACAATCATTATCACCGTCGTCATCGTCATTGTCGCCATCATCATCAATACCATTACCACCACTAGCATCACCATGATCATTATCATCGTTCGTATCAGGATCATCATGACTTTTTTCAGTATTCGCACGTTCCTCCTGCTTGTCGAACAATGAGATCGCTTGCAGTTTCGTGGTGGCGATGATGTTTGCGAGGATGGTGATGATGATGATGATGATGATGATGATGATGATGATGATGATGGTGACCGTGATGATGATGATGATGATGATGGTGGTGATGGTGATGGTGATGGTGATGGTGATGATGATGATGATCATAAGAATCATAATCATCATAATAATCATAATGATCATAATAATCACAATATTACCACAATAACAACATAAATAACAATAATAGTAATAATCAAAACAATAACAATAGCAATAGCAATAACAATAACAATAAGATTATTAGTATTAGTATTTAACCTTTCCATCAGAGCACCTTGCGAGTCTCAGCTGACTGCCCTGGCCACGGCCGGCATTTCCGCAGCTATCGACATGCCGCTGCGACACACTAGAGGCCGCCTTGTTCAGCGTGGCTTGGTGCATGTTTTTGTGGGCTGGGCGCTGCTTGAGCTATAACGTGCAGGTCACTGGAGCTGAGCAAGTGCTGGTGGCTTTAGTACAGTCAGTGGACAAAGGATTCTTCAAAGCCAGGGGCAGATGGCAGATGGCCACGGCAGCGTTCAGATTCATTCTCTAGTGGCTACTGGCGCGTACGTCACCAGAAGCAATGGCCAAACCGCCGCACAGGAGAACCATCCACGCTGGAAGGGCACATCTGACCAGAAAGTGCTGTGTGCTCGGACACTCTTCTGGGAACCCCAAAGCCAACCCTGACCGAGTGCAGTATGAAGCTTCTGCTGAGAGCCAGGGCCCGGGAATAAATGCCCTCCATTCTTTCTGCCTGCGGCAAGCCGTGATCTCCGGCCCTAACAGTCGTGCAACGCATCCTCCGCCCTAGCGCACCCCTCAGAGTGGTGCCTACAAACTGCAAAATGTTGGCCAAACAGGCCATTCGTCTCCAACCGGCAGGGGCATCTCTGCAATGGCAGAAGTGAGGCCCCACACCATGTCCAGCCTCACCCACTGTGGGCAGGAAAAATGGGGGCCTTGAAGGCCCGCGGGCGAGCTTTGCCGCCAAGAGCACACGGCCCAGCTCTCCATTGGAGGGGACACCGAAGCCTTCACGATCCTTCAACTTCGTACGCCACCCCTGTCTGATAGCCCTGGTGTGCCCTGGGGCCCCCTCTGATGGCCGGAAAGCTTCAGATCTTTGCTGAAGCCGCGAAGCTGGTACAGGCGAAGAATCCCTGCACAGGCCGGCTCTGCATTCTGCATGCTCACCCTCTCACATTGTTGTAGCCTGTTCGCGGCTCAGACAGACACACAGAGCTGTCGTGGAACGTCATTGACGTGGACATCTCGCTGGAAGGATGGCCCAAACACTTGCAGACACCTGGGTTTGGGGTTTAGAGTGTAGGGTTTTGGGTTTAAGGCACAAGCCCCCCTCCCGAGCCCTGAGCCCTCTAGGCCCCATAAGCCCCATAAACCATAAAGCCCCCAAAACCCCCTGGCTCTCAGAGAGGGAATTAGGGCCCTAAAAATACCCGTTAAGGGATTCTATAGCGTACCTCATTCCTTCATTCCCTACTGGAAAGCCTAGGGCGAGGGCTGCCTTTCACCAACTCGCTTCGCGAGGGAGAAAGGCTCGTAGAGGCTCCGTCCGTACCTGGCGCGAAGCTCTCACACGGCGCCTTGGGGGGGGGGGTTGGTGGGGGGGGGGGGAAGAGTTCAAGCATCTGAAGGTTAGGGGTTTAGGGTTTAGGGTTTAGGGTTGAGGGTTTAGGGTTTAGGGTTTTGGGTTTAGGGTTTAGGGTTTAGGGTTTAAGGTTTAGGGTTTAGGGTTTAGGGTGTAGGGCCCCGGCTTTCGGGGCTCGAACTAGCTACAGAGGCTGAAACGAGAAGTACTCCCTAAGAAGCGGCCGGCCACGCGCCATTAGAATAGCGGACTTAGCAGTTGCGCTGCGCCTCGGCTGCTTCACTTCTACTTCTTCTTCCGGAGCACCTTGCGATCCAAAAGGAACGGAAGCTTAGGGTTTAGGGTTTAGGGTTTAGGGTTTAGGGTTTAGGGTTCAGGGTTCAGGGTTCAGGGTTTAGGGTTTAGGGTTTAGGGTTTAGGGTTTAGGGTTTAGGGTTTAGGGTTTAGGGTTTAGTGCTTCAAGAGGAAGGCGAGATAAAGATACAAAAAGCCAGACCTCGAAACAAAACTGCGCTGCAAAATTCTCCGAGCGCTGGGAACTGCGCCATGCCACTCATGAGTTCGAAGACCTGTCCAAGGCAATCCGTGAAAAATGTGTGAGGGGGACGCTCCGAAGACTCGAATCGCGCTGGGACGGCCTGGTCCGGGGGTGGCCCGATGTCGCGCAGCAGGAAGTAGATGTCCTGCACCTCGGAGCACGGCAAGGAAGGTCCCCTGATGAGCACTGAGATGTGGGGATGGGGGGGGGGGGGGGGGAGGGGGAGTCCGAGCCCCTTTCAGTGTTCAGTTCCACTGTTCCCGGGCAGCCAAATGTAGAAGAACCCCCGCCCGCCCCCCTTATCAGACATCAACCCGAAATTCTTAAACTCGAGGCTGGCCCGCCTGACGGCCCGTCATGCGGTCCACCATGTCTCACAGGGGCTCTTTTTGCTCTTCTCAGATAAAGGGCATTCAGGATTCGTCCAGGTGGGGTACATACAGCAAACAGAGCACTGTGATGCTTCATCTCAGCCACCCTCCCCAATCCCATCCGCGGACCTTGTGCACCAGTGTAGCCGCACCGCGAGGCATCGATCTTGCAGAGCAAAGATGCACCGAACAACTCGGGTACCCAGGATTCTGCGCGTACCAGATCCCAACTGTCCCTCGTCTGCGGTTGGTTTAGGGTTTAGGGTTTAGGGTTTAGGGTTTAGGGTTTAGGGTTTAGGGTTTAGGGTTTAGGGTTTAGGGTTTAGGGTTTAGGGTTTAGGGTGCTGCATTCCCTCTTTCCTTTTCTTGCCCCTCTCTTCCACCTTCCCCCTGCGGTGCCAACGCCTGCTACATGGAGAACATCGTCTCCCCCGCTGTACATCTAAACGAATTCTCAGCATACTGAACATCTCGCCTTCGTGGTCCTCTCTGCTCCCCGACCTCCCCTGCCCAACCCGCTCCCCGCCTTCTTCGGGCATTCCAGACTTCTGTCTTTGTATTGCTGAAGGGGTTCTCAACCCTTCCTGCCCCCCTCCCCCCCCCTTTCCCACCCTTCCCACTTGCCTCTGACCCTTCCCTAAAGCCCAATAGTTGGTGTGAGGATGTGTGGGGGGGGTAGCAAAACGGTTTCGAACGACCTGAAACACCGGCCCTTCAGACCTGAACCTTGAGGCCTGAAGCTTTAGACCCCGAACCCCGAACTTACAAAAGTGGCTTGACTTCGAGCTTGGTACTAGGTACCAAGAAACCTGGGCTTTCTCTACACCTCTGGTAGGTCGCTGATGTCAGGTGAGTCTCGCAAGTCCCACGACTTCTCGCAACACGATTCAAAAGCTGTGGCGCGCACGACCGACGACATGCCGCTCAGCTGGATGCACGTCTGGCATAACTCCTTCGGCAGCACGAAGCACTGGTGGCCTGGAGTGATGTTGCATCTGGCAGGCGGGAGCCCTCCAAAAAAAGAACAAAGAACCAAGGAACACTTTGGACCCTAAACCCTAAACCCTAAACGTGCACAACAACCTCAACCGCCAGCGACAAGAGGGCTTCTGATTCACAAGGTACATCGCAACACCAGGCCATGACTGCGTCACAGCCATCCTGGTAACTGCATGATGCCTGCATTCTCGCAGAAGTGATCGTAGATGTAGTAGTCCAGTGCAACCTGGGTGTGGTGGTCGGAAGTCCGGGAAGATAAGGGGAATCGCCGTGAAGGCACGGGTAAACCCCGCACTGCTGTGCTGCTGGTTTAGGGTTTACTGTACGTATGACTGAACTTTATAGCCATGTTAGGGCACCATAAGGGGCTGATAAGTGGGTTATAAGTACCGTTATCACTGGTTAATGAGTACCATGAACCTCCAAGTAGGGTTTAGGGTTTAGGATCATTGCGACGACGGCATCAGCTGGTGCAGGGCTGAGGCTTCGGGAGTTTGGGGTTTCGGGGTTTAGGGTTTAGGGTTTAGGGTTTAGGGTTTAGGGTTTAGGGTTTAGGGTTTAGGGTTTTGGGGAGGTTCGACGCTTCGGGTTTCGAGGTCTCGGGGCTCATGGTTCAGCAGCACCCCTGCCCCCAGGACTCTAAGCGCGACGCGCCCGGTAGCATACTCGTGGCCACCCAGACCTGAGCATGTCTGAGTAGCGTTTGGGGTTTCGGTTTAGGGTTTAGGGTTTAGGGTTTAGGGTTTAGGGTTTAGGGTTTAGGGTTTAGGGTTTAGGGTTTAGGGTTTAGGGTTTAGGGTTTAGGGTTTAGGGTTTAGGGTTTAGGGTTTAGGGTTTAATTTAATTAGGGTTTAGGGTTTAGGGTTTAGGGTTTAGGGTCTAGGTTTTAGGGTTTAGGGTTTAGGGTTTAGGGTTTAGGGTTTAGGGTTGAGGGTTTAGTGTTTAGGGTTTAGGGCTAGGGTTTAGGGCTTAGGGCCAATCGTTAAGCCCACTGGTATGGCTCCAAATGAAGCATGTCCGGTTCAGCCACATCAGGCAGAGAGTGGGACGCCTTCCAGACCCGCGCGATACCGAAGTCTGTAATGCCTGAATGAAACTACCTAAACCCCTAAACCCCTAAACCCCTAAACCCCTAAACCCCTAAACCCCTAAACCCCTAAACCCCTAAACCCCTAAACCCCTAAACCCCTAACCCTAAACCCTAAACCCTAAACCCTAAACCCTAAACCTGGTCCGAATAGACAAGGCCCGCACTGCCAGGAAGTACTGTTGGCAGTCCTGCAGCGGGGCCGCACGTGACACAAGTCATCTGGCAGCTGGTGCGAAACCATCCCAAACCCCGAAACGGGTGGAGTTTAGGGTTCAGGGTTTAGGGTTTAGGGTTTAGGGTTTAGGGTGAAACCCTCATACCCGTCAAAGAGCCAACCCTTTCGCTCCCCCCCCCCCCGCTGTCCCCTTGCCACAATCCGCCGCCCCATGGTCCTGTCAGGTGGCGTGGCTGTGCATCTTGAGACATGGAGAGATTTAGAGGACGCATGAGGGTTCCCAGAGAGCCCCACAACCCTCAATTAATAAGCATACCTTAAATTATAAAGCGATCCTCGGTAGGGTTGAAGGGCTATCCCTTACTTGAGGGTATTGGGCTCTTTGGGTCCCGACATGCAAACGGGAAGTCCTCCCCAACGCTTACAACACCATCACCACCCCGTGCCTGTGCCGATGCGCTTGACAATGTCTACGAGGTCCCCGCGACGGCACTGTGTAGTTGGCACTGTTGTAAGCCTGGTCGGAATACAGCTGAGGGCAGGGCAACAACTCAGCTCAGTGATTTCGGATCATGGGGTTCCGCGATTCACATCCACGACTGCGATTCAGTGCACATGCAGTAGGGTTTCCCCTGGGTCAGCAGCCGTACGGTTCGGATCATGGCTTTTGGGGGGTGCGTTTAAGCCACGCGCGCTTCCGGAAAAAGGCGGTGCACAAGCCCTAAACGCCGACACCTGGAAGCGCAAGCCACGGCCGACGGGTCTAGGGTTTAGGTCTTCCAAGTTATTGACGTAAAAAGCTCAAGAACAGAAGTGTTTCTTCGGTTTCGGTGCTTTAGCGCTCAGAGAATAGGGGGGTGGGGAGAAATCTGGGTGAACCGAAGCACAACTTATGATCTTGAGTTCTTTTCTTCTCTTATACATCCGACTTCTGTTCATCCACTGCCTAAACCCAAGAAGGCAGCGACGGCGACTGCTCCAGAAGACGGCTCGGAAGCAAAGCCCTAAACCCTAAACCCTAAACCCTAAACCCTAAACCCTGAACCCTGAACCCTGAACCCTAAGCCATGGGAAGCCTGAACCCAGCGTGTCGGGTTAGCTGCAAACCTTGATCCTCTTGGTGCTGTCCGGGATCCGCTGACCCGCTACCTGCACCTTCCTTGAGCTTAGCATGCTTCAGTGGCTTGGGATACGTCAGGCTGTGTGCACCTATGACCTCGGTCTGTCTGCAGACCGTTGCCGTTAAACTTTCGAATTGGCACTGCTGCTTTGACTGTGTGGAACTATAAGCCCATAAGCTACACATGTCTCCAAGCACGGTCAGCATGCGATGCTGCCCTGCCTGCAGCCACAGAGAAATGTCCTGTGCGCGAGGAATGGCTTCATTCTTGCAGCTTCGCTGCAGCTTCACGGGTGCATGGCACGCAGCTGAGGGAGCGCTGTACTTGTCAGGCTCAACGTCATGCATTCTGCACTCAGGAGGCGGATGCTTCTGAGGACTTTCCCCTCTACATCTGCCACAACAAACAGCTCCATTTGCCCCAAAGCAACTCCCCGCTTTGCCTGGTCCAAGTGCCGCCGCTGGGCGTCACAGAGGTTGTTGAACATGTCCGGCTCGGAGCACTCCCCCCTCCAATCTTCATCGATTTGGGGGTTTCCGTACCCTTTTTGTTTGTTTTTTTCTTTCTTTGGGGGGGGGGGGGGGTTCCCTTTCAGGGATTCCATTCTATTTTGGGGTATGAACGGGGTAACGTACCCCTACTTTGGTATTTAAAATTCTACAGTAATCTATTTTGGGCACAAAAGGGGGCACCCCCCCTAATTTTGGGAAATAAACCATGTTGGAAGGCTCGGGGAGTCCAGGGCTCGAACTTTCTCCCCCTTACTAAGGGTTTAGGGTTTAGGGTTTGGGGTTTGGGGTTTGGGGTTTAGGGTTTAGGGTTTAGGGTTTAGGGTTTAGGGTTTAGTGTTTAGGGTTTAGGGTTTAGGGTTTGTCAATAGTTCCTTTCGGGAGGCTGCAGCTGAACCAAAGAAGGGACACACTAGTTCCTAAGAAAGACTATAGATGGGTTCAGAAGCTCAACCCAAAACCCTAAACCCTGAACCCTAAACCCTAAACCCTGGGTGGAGAGACATCCAGCCTGTGACAGTCGCTGCAATAGGATGCTACGGCCACGAAGGAGGCCGCCTTTGCAGAGCGAAGGTTTAGGGTTCAGGGCTCAGGGTTTAGGGTTTAGGGTTTCGGGTTTAGGGTTAAGAAGGGTTTAGGGTTTGGGGTTTGGGGTTTGGGGCTTAGGGCTTAGGGCTTAGGGCTTAGGGCTTAGGGCTTCAAGTCTTCCAGGATCAAAGCAGCGCGCCTTCATGCTGAGCGGGGTCAGCGAAACCCTTGTCTTCCTTGGGGCACCAGGCTGTTTGTCCCTATAATCCCCATAACCAACCCTATGAAGGGCCTGTTTAAGGGGTTATAAGGTACACCAGCCCGTCCTGGCACGCACCGGAAAAAGAACGCGGCAACGCGGCCGCGCAACAGCAACAGAGCAAAGAGATGCCCCCAACTCCCCCGAGTTTGGGGCTTTTAGGGTTTCCGGTTCGCGGCAGAGGGTTGAGCCCGGCTTCGCCGCAGATCACCCGAAGCCCCCCAAGTCCTCAAACCCTAACTTCGAACTCCTGGCCAACCCTTCACCATAACCCCGAGATATGCGCCACAGGACCATATATAGATATATACCCTTTCAGGGACTATATAGGGCACCCCTCACTCCCCACATTCCCTACTAACAAACCCTAAACCCTAAACCCTAAACAGTAAGAAGCCCGAAATCTGCAGCAAAGCTGCACATCCTGTGTAAGAATGTTCTCGTTGAGCAGGTTGTCCACAGCAACCTCACGTGGAGCGAGCCGTGAAGGCTCTGAACTTCAAGGTTGAGGGGTTCCGACCGTTTAGGGTTTAGGGTTAGGGTTTAGGGTTTAGGGTTTAGGGTTTAGGGTTTAGGGTTTGGGGTTTGGGGTTTAGGGTTTAGGGTTTAGGGTTTAGGGTCTAGGGTCTAGGGTTTAGGGTTTAGGGTTTAGGGTTTAGGGTTTAGGGTTTAGGGTTTAGGGTTTAGGGTTTAGGGTTTAGGGTTTAGGGTTTAGGGTTTAATCTTGCAGGGTGTGGAGTCGCGCGGTGTTGGGCTCTGCGGAGCTCTGTTTCGATGATGTAAGTCCCCGGCCTTCCCGCACAGATTCTGAAAGGGAGGGCCCACTCCCGTCTCGCCATCTGGCAGGGCTCTGTAGGTTTCGGCGCGGGCTTTTGGGCTTAGGGCTTCCCAAAAGGCTTCGGTTGGTGGGGTGGAAGTTTCAGATCCATATAAGGGTTTTCCGAAAGTAGGGGTACCCTTTTCTATTCTGTTTGAGGTACAAAGGGGGCACCCCTATGTTGGGAAACGCCCATATGTCCCAGCACCCGCATGTGCCCCTAACCATCCATCAACCCTAAACCCCAAACACCAAACCCCAAACCCTAAACCCTAATCCCACTTCAACTCTGGCCAGGGTCACAAATGGTGTTGAGATACCTCCTCGCGCCCAGGAGAGTGAACGGAACAGGCAACATCCGCCCGTTCCCCACGAAGGCCGCGAAGGCCAGCACCTGCCAGGCGTTGGGTTTAGGGTTTAGGGTTTAGGGTTTAGGGTTTAGGGTTTAGGGTTTAGGGTTTAGGGTTTAGGGTTTAGGGTTTAGGTTTTAGGGTTTAGGGTTTAGGGTTTAGGGTTTAGGGTTTAGGGTTTAGGGTTTAGGGTTTAGGGTTTGGGGCTTAGGGTTTCGGGTTTAGGGTTTAGGGTTTAGGGTTTAGGGTTTAGCATGCTGAGCACCATGATTGCAGTGGTGCTGCCCTTACCCTCCGTGGCCTTTCTCTCTTTCGAAGACTTCCTCGCAGATGTGCTCCAACTGTGAGACTGTTGAACAGCGGAGTCGGTGTATACAGACACTGAGAAGCACTGAGACAAAGGAGAGCATAGCAAGATTTGGCCCTAAACCCTAAACCCTGAACCCTAAACCCTAAACCCTAAACCCTAAACCCGAACTTCGCACCATCTCGACTCACAAATCGGATCCTTCGAGGGAGAAAGCATGCCTCAATTCCAGGCCCCGGGGTGTCTGGCCTTGAAAGTCTTGAGAGGTCCAATGTGGAAAGTAACCAGGTACACTTGAAGATGACCCCCTGCTACCAAGCGCTTCGGACCTTCCACACAGCACCCACTCGGTGATGAATGAGCTAGATTCTGGAGGTGAAACGCTCCTTGCACAGCTGGCCTACCTCGAGCTCTTCCCAGGACATACGCGAAGAAGGACGCAACATGATGAGACCTGCGACCGACTGCCTGTGATTGAGGCTGATTTGCCGCGGGTGAGCATGAGGAAGGCAGCTCAGCAACGCTTTGGTGTTCTTGACCGTCGTGCAGTTCGGTTGTCGCGATCCAAGCGCTGGACCTTCGCGGAGAACTGCTTCTGGGTCCGGAGCGCTATCTGGTACACGCGCGTGTTCTCCTTGTTGTACTTGAAACAATTCTCCCACACCATGTTCACATCGCTGACCACTTCGCCCAGGTCGCGGTACATATCGCCGTCCAAGTTGGCCATCACAGTGCCGAGGTCTACAGGCTTGTTGGGGGCAATCTTCTCCAGGTAGTCCTTGTGCTTGGCAGTGTTAACCGGCTTTGCGAAGAACTTCCCCACCTGGCGTTTCCCAAATTCTGGATACCTTCTTGGGGTCCTTGTGATAAGGGAATCCTACTATTTGGGGATCTAAACTGGGGGTTCCCCTCTTTTCGTAAACCCCGACCTCCTTATCCTGGGTCAATTCTTCGAGGACAGCTTTGAGAGCCGTCAAGGCAGCACGCTTACTGACGTCCGACGGCCCGGGGGACTTCTTCGCCTGTGGGGCCGCCAGTGCACGAGACGGTGTTACCGCGGATGTTTTCGACCGTGCCGCTGATCGAGTCTTGCATTCCCTCTTCGTGCCCCCACTCTGGGTATTTGTTCTGCGGGCACTCTTAGCGTTTTTCTTGGCGGCAGCTTCCACGGTAATTGCAGCTGGAGCTTCTGAATCCAGGGGTCGCTTCTTGGTCTGGGGATCTTCTGCGACTGCGTCGAGGCTGCCGAACCACGTCCCTTCCCTGGAAGCTTCAGCATCTTCCTCAAAAGACTCCTCGTCGAGGTCCCCCGCATCAAACTCGCCGTTAGGGCCGACGCTTTGCAGCGTGGCGATACACGTGGTGCACTTCGAAAGCACGGCGCTTAGCCCCTTGGCCTGCTCCTCGGTCAGGCGCAGCCTCATATTCTCCGGGGCGATGTGCATCGCCATTGGATGCGAAAGGGAAGACGGAAGAAATGTCGTGCCTCTAGATATCCACAGCAACGCCCACTGGCTTGAGCCGGCACAGGAAAGGTCACAGTGGTCACACCAGCAAACAGCAACTCTAGGCTTCAGCAACTCTGGGCTTCAGCAACTCCAGGCTTACTTGGGCTGTTGACCCCTGGGGGGGGGGAGTTTAAGCGGGTCCCGGGCGGGGATTTCCAGAAATCTTCCCCAAGTCCGGCCTCAGGATAGAAGATGACCAGGGACTCATCCTCGTCAATACACTCAACTGCCGTTAGTATTGCTGGCCGATACATATATATATACACACACACACACACACGCCTTCGTGCGCGCACAAATACAAAGATGCAAACCCCCGCTGGCGTTCAAAAGTAAGGCTTCTGTCCAACTCCTTGGAGACCCCTAAACCCTAAACCCTAAACCCTGAACCCTGGCATTGTCAAAACAGTACCATCCGACATCTTGTTTCAACCGAAAGCCCGACATGAACTTCAGACCAGGGTGGGCTCTCAGAAAATCTTCGCACCCACGATCCATTTGGGGTTGAGGCGGGTCGCGTAGCGTTGCAGTACCCTAAACCCTAAACCCTAAACCCCGTAATCCTCATCCCAAGCACCCCAGAAACCAGGAATCCGGATCACGCATTCCCCTCGGTTTTTAGCCCAGGCCGGCCACGTGCCTGGCTGTTGGCCACATGACACAGCTGGGCACCACCTCCCACATCCTGCAAGAGGATCGGGCAGCCGTTGCGTGAACAGTGTAACTAGCTAAACAGAGCTGCCTGACTCCCTAAACCCTGAACCCTAAACCCGAAACCCTAAACCCTAAACCCCTTGAGGGGTCCTGACCAGCGATGTCTGTCAGCGCCTGAAGCTGACTGAAAGCTCGGATTTGTCTCTCTGGCGTTCCACTCGAAAATGCTACTTGGAGGTTCATGGTACTTATCAATTAACCAATTATAACTGTACCTGTAAGGGTTTAGGTTTAGGGTTTAAGGTCTAGGGTTAGAACTGTCCTTACGACTGTACCTATAGCCATAATGGGGGCACTTTAGGGGCTTATAGCGGGCTATAAGTACAGTTTTCTGGGTTAACAAGTACCATGAACCTCCAAGTTGCGAAAGAAGAATGCAAGCAGGCCTGATTGCGAGTGCCCCACTCTTCTTCATGCCCCCCCCCCCCCCCCCACACTATGCCTGCCTGGAAGGGCACCCCCGCTGCCATGAAGTCGCTCAAGCCACACGTGCCTGCCTTGAATGTTCTGGGCACGTGACTCTCGTGGATTGCCCCCTAAACCTAAGCCGTAAACCCTAAACCCTAAACCCTAAACCCTAAACCCTAAACCCTAAACCCTAAACCCTAAACCCTAAACCCTAAACCCTAAAGGACCATCTGCCGCGGGGCCACGCCAAGCCGCTCATGGTTGCACAAGGTCACCGGCTGCATCTTGCCAACCTCACAGAGGCACCCGGAGCCGCAAACCGCAAGCCTCCTACTACCAGTCCGAAGTTCCCAAGATCCCCAAATAATAATCATGATAATAATAAGAAGAAAAATAAGCATAATCAAAATCATGATCATAATCATAATCATGAAGATAATCATAATGATAATAATTAATACGAAGAATACAAAAAAACACGAGTAACAATACTAATAACACAAGGAGGTCCTCTAGGGCACAAGCCGCAAGCTGCTGAAGCCACTGGTTGTTCGCGGGCCCTGGTGTCGTGCCCACCAGGTAGGTGCCATCCTCCAGTCAACAGCACGCCCAGAACAACTTGCCAGTTTTTTTTTTCGTAGGTTTGGGTTTAGGGTTTAGGGTTTAGGGTTAGGGGTTTAGGGTTTAGGGTTTAGGGTTTCGGGTTTAGGGTTTCGGGTTTAGCGTTTACGGTTTGGGGTTTGGGGTTTAGGGTTTAAGGTTTAGGGTCTAGGGTTTAGGGTTTAGTGTTTGGGGTTTAGGGTTTTAGGGTTTGGGGTAAGGAGGGAAGGAGGTACCCCTATATGACCCCTTAAACCGGCCTCTATTCGGGGAAAGAATAAGTACCAAATTCCACAAACTCCCCAATTCCCTACCAAGAACCCGTCGGTCTCTACACCCCAATCCTCAAACCTGAAACCCTTGACCCTGATTTGGGGAACCCCTAAACCCTGAACCCTAAACTAAACCCTTAACCCCAAACCCTAAACCCTAGACCCTAAACCCTAAACCCTAAACCCCAAACCCTAAACCCTTAACCCTAAACCCCAAACCCCACCTGGTCGCCCACCAGCTCGCGGCTGAGGATGGCCAGATAGGCCAGCAGCGAGTAGAGCATGTCGGGGGTGAGCCCTTCCACGAAGTGGAAGGGTTTAGGGTTTAGGGTTTAGGGTTTAGGGTTGAGGGTTGAAGGTTTGGGGTTTAGGGTTTAGGGTTTAGGGTTTAGGGTTTAGGGTTTAGGGTTTGGGGCTTAGAGTGATTATTGGGGGATGTTCCCAACATTAGGGTTCCTATAGCAAGGATTCTAGAAGATTAAGGGGGGGAGCCCCCTATTTCAGGGGCTATATGGACCCCCTTGAGGGGCACTAGGGGGGGATATAAGGTACCTTCTTGACCACGTTGGAGGGTTTAGGGTTTAGGGTTTAGGGTTTAGGGTTTAGGGTTTAGGGTTTGGGGTTTGGGGTTTGGGGTTTGGGGTTTGGGGTTTGGGGTTTGGGGTTTGGGGTTTGGGGTTTAGGGTTTAGGGTTTAGGGTTTAGGGTTTAGGGTGATTATGGGGGGTGTTCCCAACATTAGGGTTCCTATAGCAAGGATTCTAGTAGATTAAGGGGGGGAGCCCCCTATTTCAGGGGCTATATGGACCCCCTTGAGGGGCACTAGGGGGGGGATATAAGGTACCTTCTTGAACTCCCTACCTAAGAGTCTGAACCCTAAACCCTAACCCTAAACCCTAAACCCAAAACCCTAACCCCTAAACCCTAAACCCTAAACCCTAGACCCTATCTTGAACCCAACATCGAACCTCTCTCAGTCGTGGAGCGCCTGGGGCCGAGTTGACGCCACTGCACCGCGCGAGGGCAGCGTCCAGGCCTCCCAATGGCACGGGTTTTGCAACTCATCAGTGTCTGAACAGCAAACAATTCAGCCCTGTAGTTGCATTGCTTGCCGAGCAGAACACCGAAATGCAAAAACTTGAACTCACGCGAGTGCGGCGAAGCCGGCACGACGCAACTGCAGGTGGAATTGTACTGCCGTCTGTGAACATGCATGCATGATTCATCATGAGGCAATGAAATTGAAGCACAAACTTGGAACCACTGAGCCACTTCAGGGAGAATTTCCCACAAGACTCTCAACAACTAGAAAGATGATGAGACGGTTCCACGAGTGACTCCGCCCGAATTCTGGCAAAGTGGGGGGGTTAGGGTTTAGGGTTTAGGGGTTTAGTTGTTTAGGGGTTTAGACTTAGGGGTTTAGGGTTTAGGGTTTAGCGACGAAAACTAGCCTCGGAGCTACAACGACGACAGATTGCATCATTTCAAGCAGAACATACCGCTTTTGCTTTGTGGACTGGGCTGCCCAGGATGGGTGTGTATGCTTTCGAGGCAGAACGCAAACACACGGGAGGTGCCACGCTGACGTGGTTGGTATGCTGATACCCTTCCAAGTCAAGTAGCTTGGGTTGAAGGATATGTCCTGACGACTTTTTGATGCTAGGCGAAGGTGGATTGACGCCCCGTTTGGGGCGCGGTGTAACCCGGGTGGACTTCCCATCTTAAGACGCGAAGTTGAGCAAACAGATACGACAATGGCCCGCGACGGACCCCGCCTGCAGTACCGATTTCCAGCTTTCATACAACGCCGTAGCATGACAAACAAGACTGCCGACGGCCGACGTACAGTGTTCAAGCGAGACATCAGGAAATGAACGGATCACATCCAATCTCTAAACCAAAGATTGGGGGCAGGAAATGGTTGCGAGTATTTGCCAAACCCCAATAGAAGAAGTCAGCCTTTCTGGTGTGCGACCAAGTCAGAGCACACTGCAGCGCCAATGCGATGAATAGGGATGCTTGCAAGTGCGTGCTTGCCGCTATTAAAAATGCACACCCAACTCTGAAACCTTTAGGGCAACCTCCAATGGGAACCCCTGAAAAGAAAAGACAGAGCTTTCCGAAAGATCTTCCGGTGGTGGTGCAATATGCTCTGAGAGGGTTTAGGGCTTCGCTTCGGGCTTAGGGATCCCTGTCTGCAACTCGATGGTGGTGCTGGCCAGCGCAGACTTGGCGCCTAAGAACGTTGCACCTCCTCATCTTCAGAATCTGCCGGGGTACATCTAGGTCGCGTTCGGAGGTGCGGCCCGGGGATTGTGGGCTGCCCCGAAACCCCCAGGCCCCAAGTCCACTACCTGCCCGCGTTGGCCTTCTCTGCGCTCTCAGGGTTGGGAGGGGTTCAGAGTCTCGGAAGACCGCTCTGCCCCCTCCCCCCCCCCCCCCCACCCCCCCCCCAAAAAAAAAGGGGCGGCAATACTGCTATTTGGGCCTGTCTCGATGCCCTCCAGCTTGTTGCCATGCAAGCTGTTGATGATGAGGAACGCAAGCTGCCGGTGATTGATGATGATCGCCTTCGGAATGTCGGTAGGGAAGAACCCCAAAGTTTCTGCTCTGACACACTGCAAGGGGCCAAAATAGGGGTACGTCTCCCAAAATAGTGGTACCCGTGATCTACCCCTCAGAATCCGGAGAAGAGGAAGCCCCAAGAAAGATACCCAATTCTTAGGAAAGCCTAAACCCAAAACCGTGAACCAGCAACCAAGAAAAGACTGATAGGAGTCACAAACCCGAATGCAGATACGTGTTACGTACACGAAAAACAAAAAAGGCGCGGCGCACCGCGCAAGATCCGATGTGAAGTGCCTTGTTGTGTCTCACTCGCTCTCTTCTCTGCTCTCTATGCTCTTCTCTGTCTCTCTATACCTCTCTCCCGCTCTCTCTTATCTCTATCTCTCTCTCTCTCTCTCTGACTCTCTCTATTGTTTGTTTCTGTGTCTCTCTCTCTCTCTCTGCTTCTCCCTCTCGCCCTCGCTCTCGCTCTCTCACACTCGATCTCTCTCTCTCTCTCTCTATTGTACCCCTCTCTTTTGTCTCTCTCTATTTATGACTCTGTTTTCTCTCTCTCGTTTATCTCTCTATTTGTTTCTCTCTCTTTTGTCTTTCTCGTCTATCTCGCTTCGCTCTCTCATCTCTCCTTCTCTCTGTCAACGAATCCATTCCTATGAATGGTCCACAAATCCATTCCTTTGGGACCTTTCAATCACTTCAAGCAGAAACGAATGGGAACTCCAACAACAACAATTATGAGGACCTTGGAGATGCGAACAACAAACGAGGGCTCCAACACAAGCACGACAATTGCGAGGACGGCGCAGACCCCGTGCCTCAGCCTTGTGACTGTCTGCACGTTGAGCCATGAACAACAAACGAAGTTTTAAAGTGAGGAGTCACGATGATGGCGCACCCCACATGCCTCATCCTCGTAACTGTCTGCACTTCGTGATGCCTCATCCTCGTGACTGGCTGCAGCCCTGAACAGCACACCAAGCTTGAAAATCGACGACCGGTCTGTCACTTTGCAAGCAACCATGACCAAAAGGTGACGACTGTTGCGAGGATGGCGCACCTCCAAGATTTCTGAGAGGTCTCATCCTCGTGACGGTCGCCGCTTTTCAGGCGTGCAAAGACCAGAAACATGCCGAAACGCTGGGTTTCCGCAACTACACGTCGATTCGCGACTGCAGACGCTTTGCGAACGCTTTCCAACGCTCTGCGAACACAAAATACACGATGCCACGTAAGCTCGCTGACCCCTGGAACCCCAAACTTTTAAAACGGGAACCCTTCTGCTGCGCATTCGGAGAAAAGTTTGGTATTTCCCAAAATAGGGGTACCTCTTGGATACCCCAAATACAGCAGAAGCCCCTTCAAGGGACACCCAAAACAGGTACCCCTTGGTGGGATGTTCCCCCTTGTACTAACAGTCCTTAATAGGGATTATCATAGGGGTACTTGAAATAATCTCTATGAAGGACTGCTAGTATAAGGGGGAACACCCCAAACCCTACCCCCTAAACTTGGCCCTAAACCCTGAACCCGAAACCCCAAACCCAAAAAAAACCCAAACCCTAAACCCCCAAACCCCCAAACCCCAAACCCCAAACCCCAAACCCTAAACCCTAAACCCTAAGATCGCACAACTACACAGCGCCTTCTGCTGGCTGTGCACCGGCCCACCGGCTCCACCTGTGACTGGAGGAAGTGCACACGGGGTTTAGGGTTTAGGGTTCAGGGTTTAGGGTTTAGGGTTTAGGGTTTAGGGTTTAGGGTTTAGGGTTTGAGGCTTACGGTTTAGGGCTTGGGGTTTAGGGTTCCGAAACGCCCGCTGCGAGAAGCCCACACGCAAGCGCCTTCACGCAGGTCGATCCAGGGGACCTTCTGACCCCCGGTCGAGAAAGGATCCCTCCGTAGAGTGGCGCGCATAAAGTTGGCCAGCTCCTCACAGCAATGGGCTTGCCTGGGGTAGGGGTAGGTTTGGGGGGCCCTATACAAAAAGATATGGCTTTATAAGGATTATATATGGGGGATTAAGGGTACTAAGAACTCAAACTGATGTTCATGCCTACCTCTGTTGCGTCGTCACTCCGTCCTGAATTGTCACCGGGGTGCCCTGGAACATCGGTGGCCTGCCAGGGAGTTCTGAATTTAGGGTTTAGGGTTTAGGGTTTAGGGTTTAGGGTTTAGGGTTGAGGGTTTAGGGTTTAGGGTTTAGGATTTAGGGTTTCGGGCGCCCTGCTGTCTGAGACTCGGACGATTGCATCCACTTGTTCCTCACCTGGTTCCACATGTCCTGGCACGAAACCGTCGGATGCGCAATGCTGGAGTCTGGTGACCATGGCGCTGCGTGAGTAGCGCCCAACATAATGATTGATTCTAAGAGGCGCACTAGAAAAAACCCTAAACCCTAACCCTAAACCCTAAGCCCCAAACCCTAAACCCAAGAGGACTGAGCGATCTCCATGAGCCCCCAAATCGGCCATGTGCGATGCTACTAATGGTGTGCACTGGCTTTCTTCGTTTTTTCACGCCAGATACACTAGGGTTTAGGATTTAGGGGTTTAGGGGTTAGGGTTTAGGGTTTAGGGTTTAGGGTTTAGGGTCTAGGGTTTAGGATTTAGGGTTTAGATCATGCATACACCGAAATCAGGGGCCAGAAATGAAACCAAGAAAACCATGTCTGACACTTCTGGGCACTGCAAGGCGCAAACCGCGCAAGTCCGTTCCTGCGGAACCGACGCCAGCCACGACACCTGAGCCGAGAGACAGGGACACTTCACAGAGCACCGAGCATCGCGGTTTAGGGCCTCGGGTTTTGGAGGTTTATGGTACTTACTAACCAATTATACCTGTACTCATAACTGTACTTATAGCCCCCTTAGGGCACTTAAGGGGCTTATAAGTGGGTTATAATAATTGCTTAATAAGTACCATGAACCTCCAAGTAGGGCCAGGGTTTCGGGTTTAAGGTTCAGGGCTGAAGGGTTTGCAGGTGATCTGATTCCAACCATGGTACGCCATCGTCGATCTCATCGGCGAGAGTCCAGGGACTCTTGGGGAGGAAGGAGTAGATCCATTCACTTCCAGTCCTGGAGGCGACCGTGGGGGTTTAGGGCTTCGGTTTCAGATAAAGCCGCAGGCTGGAAATTCCCCCCCCCGAGGGCAAATGGCCGGTGGTCTCACTCGCAGACAGAGTCGGAGAAGAAGGCTCTAATCTCTGGATCTCTTGGTCATGGGCTTGCCCAACCACACGCAGTCCGCGTTTGGGCCTTGGGAACTTGGCTCTCTTCTCATGTGTACTTATAACCCACTGATAAGCCCCTTAAGTGCCCTAAAATGGCTATAAGTACAGCTGTAAGTACAGTCATAATTAGTTAATAAGCACCATGAACCTCCACGTAGATTCCAGCGGCAACGGTCACTTCGTGCGACCTTGTCTGGGTTCCCGGGCACATCAGCCAGAACTTGTCCGGGGTGGTGCTCTGCATCTCTGCTTCTGACAGCCTGCATGCTTGGAACACCTTTCGCCCACGCTGTGGCATGGTGCACCCGAAACCCTAAACCCTAAACCCTAAACCCTTGACGGGCTGTGCACGGGAGATCGCGCCTTGCTGAGGTCTGTGAAGAGACCTCACCTGAAGGCTTGCATCGACTTCGAAAGCTTCATGTCAAGCTTCACCAGGATAATCCCTATAACCAACCCTATAAAGGGCCTGTTTAAAGGGTTATAAGGTATCATAGCCCGTCCTGGCAGAGAAAGCCCTCTCGCTTGCGTCCCCCGCCTTGTTCTGGAACAAGAAGGAGGCCTCTGCAAGAAACGTGCAACGGGCAAGCCTGTGGACTCTTGTAACCGAGCCATGTGCGCGCAAAATGAGACGTATGCGTACATGTACGTTCGCGTTTGCATTCATTTTTAGATCTACGCTTCTTGACCTTCACTTACTGTATGACATATTTATGTATACATGTATTTATGAATTTCTTCACTGATTCCTTTTGGTCTTTCTTTATTTAAATTTAATTTAAATTCATATTTATATTTATACTTATATTTATATATCTATATGTAATTTTTTATTTATATTTATATTTGAATTTGTATTTGTATTTATATTTATACTGATATTTTTATTTCTATTTATATTTACATTTCTATTTCTGCTTATATTTATACTTATATTTATATTTATATTTAGACTTAGATTTATATATTTATATCTATATTTATATTTCCATGCTTTTTTGACAAACATATGTATACCTTGTTTTGAGATCTTCCTGGTCCCAGTCGGGCCTGCAAGGGTCACCAGGGCCAAGCCAAGCAAAAGACCCAAGGCGGCGCAGGGGCGAGAACGGCCTGAGCGGAATGTTGGGAAGGACTGCGGGTAGCAGAGCGGTCGCACAACCGAAGAACGCTGCACTTTGTGCGCCGACTACACGTGCACCTGTTCCGTCTGGGGCCTAAGTGCAGTACGAAAGAATTCCGGCCGAAAGGCACCGCCTGCAACAGACCCACAGCACGACAAAAGAAGTCATTGAGCCTTGCAATTCCTTGGCCCCTAAACCCTAAACCCTAAACCCTAAACCCTAAACCCTGCTCAAGTTCGTCGGTTTGCAGCCGCCAGTCCCAACCCGCCTAAGAGCGCAGCGCCCTCACCTTCGCCGAGGTCTGTCGGCTCACTGGTCGCCTCGAATTCCTGTTGCAAGAAGAGAGCCCTAAACCCTAAACCCTAAACCCTAAACCCTAAACCCCAAACCCGAAACCCTAAACCCTAAACCCCAAACCCTAAACCCTAAGCGCGCCAGAACATATGAGTATCTCCCCGAAGAGGGGTACTCCAATGATCCCCAAATAGACTCGAATCCCCCTAAGGGAACCACCTAAAAGGGTACCCCTTTTTTTTCGCAAACCCCCCATATCTGTGCATGTCGCCTGCAAGGAGGCCTCGAGCTGCGGCTGCCTTAACGCTCGAGAGCCATGCGAAACAAATGGTGACACCGAAGCACGGAATATCACCCTTTAGGGTTTAGGGTTTAGGGTTTAGGGTTTAGGGTTTAGGGTTTAGGGTTTAGGGTTTAGGGTTTAGGGTTTGGGGTTTGGGGTTTAGGGTTTAGGGTTTAAGGGAAGTCGAGCAGTGAAACGACAGCCGGAGCACGCGCAATCGTCTGGCGCTGCTTTGATGATTGTCGCCATGGCTGGTATCGGCGGGGCTCTTGCACCCCAAGATGACAACCCTAAACCCTAAACCCTAAACCCTAAACCCTAAACCCTAAAGGCAAGCCGCGGTCTATGGCACCTCTCTCAGGAACTAGGAGAGCACTGAAAAACACGATGGGAGCCCCAATATCTCAGAGCCAGTCAGCTGCCAGTCACGCTTTTCATGTGGCTCCCAGCGTTACAATGGCGAGTGCCCTAAACCCTAAACCCTGAACCCTAAACCCTGAACCCTGAACCCTGAACCCTGAACCCTGCTTGCAGACTCGTGAAGATTCTTCAGACCGCCCTCGAAGCGACTTTGGGTTCTGAAGGTGAGACGGGGGGGGGCTTTCAGCCCTTCAGCACCTTTTGGTGCGCCTTTTGCAAACGCCTGCAGTGACCCGGTCTGTGCAATCATCAACTCAGCCTGCCTCAAGTCTGCTGTAGGATCAAATCTCAGAAAGCCTCATAAACTGTGACAGACTTCTCTTGACCCTCTACCCTGGGCCGCTGCTGGACACACGCCACGTCGTGGCACATAACACAATGCACGGCTTGAATTCCGGAAAGGCGGCTTCCGAATGTTCGTTTACTTAGCGCGCATGGCAGGGGCTGCAGAAGCACACGCCCGCACCATGCACTGAACGTTAACTTAACTTCCCAGCCTCCATAGGTCTCACTCGAGGCTAAGGATATGTTCCTGGGACTGAACTCCAGGCACCTGCAGATCAGTGGTCAGAACTACCCCGACACCCTAAACCCTAAACCCTAAACTACCTCTTGCAAGCTGAAAAGCAGCTGAAAAGAGCAGGAATGCAGTCTCTCTTCGCGCCTTCATTGTGGAAAACCTCGGCGGAGGAGGGTCATACATGATGGCGGACGTGCAGGTCTACATGCACATAAACTTCTATGCATATATATATATATACATATATATATGTATATATATATATACACACACACACATATGCTCCACGTATGCATACAGTACGTAAAAGTACGACAGCAAACATCTCCCATGCGACTTAAAGACGCTAACGATGCAAGCTCGGGGCCTCGGGCCATCGATGGGAAGCCGGAAAGGCTTGGACGGCTCCTGAAAAGTAGGACTCTTCTGCTACCACCCAAAAATGCGACAATCACGCCCACAACATGCAGCCCCAAAAAAGCGGTCAAGCCCAAAGCCCCGAAAAAACCCACAACCCGACCTCAAGCCCAAAGCTTACCCTGCAAGCCCCTAAGCACTAAACTTCTAAGCCCTAAACCCGGCAAGCCCCTTTTGCCTGCCCGGTCCAACTCCAAGGCTGGGGCGAGCCGAGGCTCCTCGCCTCCGCTGATGCTACTGTTTGCGACTGGGGTTTCGGGATTCAGGGCCTTTAAAAATGCAGGATATCTAAAGGATGCTCCGAAAGGAGGAAAGGGGGGGTCTTTCGGATTTGGGTCAGGGCTTGGTAAAACTTAGGCTCCGGAGGGCTTCGGAGGGCTTTAAAGAGGGTGTTTGAGATGAGGGTTTCGGCTCAGCTTGGCCCCTGGCCGTCGGCTTCGCTCCGGCTCCGTGCTTGCTGGCCCCGCGCTTCCGCTTCTTGCGCCGGCTCTCCCGCAGGGTGCTGCAAGAGTAGTAGAGCGTGTTGGCCGAGTAGGAGTGGGCTTTGGCCTCGGCTACAGCGAAGCAGCGGCTGAAGTATGGGGAAGCGCACCAAGAGCACAGAAAAGTCGGAAAACGCAATGAAGCCAAGGCGCTGAGTGTTTAGACACCGGCCTGTCAGTGAGAGAGAAAGACAGAGCAAGCTACGCCGCTACGCACTCACAGATCCAGGAACTCCATGCTTCAGCACCCCTAAACCCTAAACCCTAAACCCTAAACCCCTGGGCTCCCTGGCTCAACGATGGGGATCAGAACGGACTGGCGCTGCTGCTGCGCCAGCCGCGCCATGCCATGCAGGTTCCCTGCGTGGAACCCCGGATGGAAGTCCCGCTCCTCCACATCCTCAAGCTCCTCTTACTTCAAGAGTAGGGTTTAGGGTTTAGGGTTTGGGGTTTAGGGTTCAGGGTTTAGGGTTTAGGGTTTAGGGTTTAGGGTTTAGGGTTTAGGGTTTAGGGTTTAGGGTTTAGGGTTTAGGGTGCATAGATGCCATGGCTTCGAAGGGCTTCTCTCTTAACAAGGAAGCAGAAGGAAGCTCCTTGCCCACGGCCTCCCACTTGAGGTATTTCTTAGATCCACACGCGCAAGAAACAGGCACTCTTGGATCCTTCGTATGACTCATAAGGGCAGACTCCTAAATTAGGGGGTATTTAGTATGATTTTTTTAGGGTATCCTCCTTCATTAAGGGGTATTTATTGGGCTCTTTGGGATCACAAATTGAAAAAACCCCAAACCCTAAACCCTAAACCCTCAACCCTAAACCCTAAACATCCATAAACCCTAAGCCCTAAACCCGAAACCCTAAACCCTAAACCGTAAACCCTAAACCCTAAACCCTTCCGTGATGCAGCTGAGCCACCTCCAGCGAGTCAGCAAGCTCCGGGTCGTGGTCCCCATGCCAAATGAATCCAGGCCTGGGCACACTCCTTTATCATTATTATTAATAGGAATACTATTATTAGAAAGCTATGATTATTATGTAATTATATCTACATCTACTACTACTACTACTACTACTACTACTACTACTACTACTACTACTACTACTACTACTACTACTACTACTACTACTACTACTACTACTACTACTACTACTACTACTACTATACTACTACTACTACTACTACTACTACTACTACTACTACTACTACTACTACTACTACTACTACTACTACTACTACTACTACTACTACTACTACTACTACTACTACTACTACTACTACTACTACTACTACTACTACTAACTACTACTAACTACTACTACTACTACTACTACTACTACTACTACTACTACTACTACTACTACTACTACTACTACTACTACTACTACTACTACTACTACTACCACTACTACTACTACTACTACTACTACTACTACTACTACTACTACTACTACTACTACTACTACTACTACTACTACTACTACTAGAAACCCCTAAAACCCCAAACCCTTACGGAGGCTTGGGAGGCTTGGCTTCAGCTGGGGTCCGGGCGGCAAGGAAGCAGCCGCTCTCCACCTCTCCTGCCCGGCTGCCCCCCACCCCACCAAAGTGCCCGCAGTCCGACTCAACCGGCCTTTAGGGTTCAGGGTTTAGGGTTGAGGGTTTAGGGTTTAGGTTTTAGGGTTTAGGGTTTCGGGAGGGTTTAGGGTTTAGGGTTTAGGGTTTGGGGATTAGGGTTTGGGGTAACTCGAAGCCCTCAAGAGTTTACAGCTGCACATGACTCCGTCCCGCGTGAGCGCCTGTTGACAAAGGCATTTAGCTCTTCAACCCAAAAACCCCGAAGCCCTAAAACCCCAACTAAAACCCTAAAAACCCCTTAAATCCTCAACTCCCTAAACCCTAAACCCTAAACCCTAAACCCTAAACCCGACTGTACGCTCCAAGCCCGACTTGCAGAAGTCTGGGAAGGCCGCCGCTGCCTCGTCGGGGACCTCGTTGGCAACCTCCTCGCAGGGCCACGGCTCAAGGAAGGCTGCTTCATAGCTCTTAGCGAAGAATGAGAGGATCCGGTACCTTATAGGGTTTAGGGTTTAGGGTTTAGGGTTTGGGGTTTGGGGTTTGGGGTTTGGGGTTTGGGGTTTGGGTTTTAGGGTTTAGGGTTTAGGGTTTAGGGTTTAGGGTTTAGGGTTTAGGGTTTGGGGGTTTTGGGTTTAGGGTTTAGGGTTTTGGGGGGGGGGGGGGGGGGGCGCACCGTGATATGATGTACCGAATGCCGGAACTGCCTACCAAGAGCTCGTAAGCAGTTTCCTTGCATCCTGATCCCCCCTTGTGCTGGGGATTATAACAGGGACCTGAGAAGTGGGTCAGAGACCTCACGGTAGAGCACCATACCGCTTCTACCCCTAAACCCTAAACCCTAAACCCTAAACCCTAAACCCTAAACCCTAAACCCTAAAGTATCGCGCCTTGGAGAAGGTCACCGAAGGTCTTGGCACCTCGGGCGGCTTCGGCGCGGCCTCCTCGCTACACTGCAAATGGGGTTTAGGGTTTAGGGTTTAGGGTTTGGGGTTTGGGGTTTAGGGTTTAGGATTTAGGGTTAAGGGTTTCGGGTTTAGGTTTTAGGGTTTCGGGTTTAGGGTTTCGAAACGGGGTACCCTTTTCTTGCGGGCACTAGAAGAAGGGACGAGAGTCTTTGGGGACGGTGAGATGTGCCCAGTTTGGGACATGCCCCAAACATCTCGAAAGATCGACCCTAATAACCCTGATCACCCTAATGACCCCAATATCAGTTCATCCGTCTTCCAACGCAGAAAGCTTCTGTTAGCAGACTCACTCCCACCAATACGTTCAAGACAAAGATGGGATTTACTGCACTTTGGCAAAAATGCATTCTGGAATGAAGTATCTTCATAATTCTGTGCCAGTCCGGTTCCTGCGCACTGCAGATCCAAAGAACCAAAAGAAGGCAGGTGCTCTCTTGCAATGTCTAATTTCTACTCCTCTTGCTGCTGTTACTCGAGTGCATAGATTGCCGCATTATAACTGTACATATAACCCACTTATAAGCCCCTTAAGTGCCCTAGAATGGTGATAAGTACAGTTGCAAGTACAGTTATAATTCGTCAATAAGTACCATGAACCTCCAAGTAAACCTAACCCCTAAACCCTAAACCCTCAAACCCTTCTTCGTCATCGGAAGTCTGCGGGCGCGCCTCCGGCGGCTCCTCGCGCGCCTGCTCGGAGCGCTCGGACTCGGCGCCGTGGCTGCTCTTGGACTCCAGGCGGCTCTCCTTGGCGGAGCCCTTGGAGGGGCTCCGCCGGCTTCCGCGGCTCAGCTTCGAAGAAGACCGGAGCGAGGAAGACCGGATCACGCCCCGCGCGGCCTGGAGGGGTAAAGGGGGGCAAAGGGGGTAAAAGGGTTTTCAGGAACTTTCTAGATAGGAAAAGGCCGGCCAGATGGGTAGGACGATCAAGATCACCCTCTCAAGACCCTTCCTGGTTCTTGGAGTTCACCCGCCGCACCCTTGCTTCACCTGCGCTGGGGTTGTGGCCATGTTTTGGGCACAGAAAGATGGGGGTTCCCGAATTTAGGGTCCCTTCTTGGGGTCCCTACTACAAGGGGATCCTACTATTTGAACGTCTTCATTAGGGGCCCCTTAGTTTCGTACACTCCCCGATACTGGGGAATAGTGGAGAGAAGTCACCAGCACGCCTCCGCCGGCTTGTGGACTCTCGGGTTTCTTCTTGCCTCGGATGATGCTTTCAGGCGCTTTTCAAGCAAAACCGAAAATAGGGGTACCCTTTTTGGGGGGTCCCTTTACGGGGCTTCTATTCTGTTTTGGGGAATATTAAGGATACCCCTTCTTTGGGAAATACCCATATCAGTATCCGCAGGTCGGACCAACGACCCTTCGATTTGAGGCGCGCGGCGGATGCAGTTCATCACGCGCTGCCACTTTTCTTGAAGAGACGCCACGCGCTCCTGAGAATCCAGCTTGTCTCTTATTTTATGCCCCGAGTCGAAGGGGACTAAGCTGCTCTGGTGAGAGGTCCTTGATCCACGTCCTGCAGTTCGCCTGCCTTCTTCTGGCGGCCTCCTCCTCAGCCGTTCCAGGACACTGCGCGAGGCTCAGACTCCCTAAACCCGGAACCCTAAACCGTAAACCCCAAACCCCAAACCCCAAACCCTAAACCCTAAACCAGGCCCGCCTGCGCCGCTTCCTGCACAACCTGCCCCCAGTCTGCTGCCGGATCATCAGGGTTATAGAGGTTCGCGGCGCCCTTCCGCACGGGGCGTGGTGTGCCAGCATTCTTTACTAATAATAATAATCATAACAATAATAGTAATCATAATAATAATAATAATAATAATAACAATAGTAATAATCATAATACGAAATTATTAATACTAATACCAATAGTAGTAATAATGATAATAATACGAATACGAAGAATACTAAGAATAATCATGATACTAATAGTATCTGAACGACACCTTGTCCTCCTGGCTGGCTTGCAGAGCGGCGCAGTCGCACCTGCAGAACGACAAGCCTCATGTGTGGGAACACTGGAAATACTTAGGGGGTTATTTGGGGGCTACTTGGGTTTAGGGTTTAGGGTTTAGGGTTTAGGGTTTAGGGTTTAGGGTTTAGGGTTTAGGGTTTAGGGTTTAGGGTTTAGGGTTTAGGGTTTAGGGTTTAGGGTCTAGGGTTTAGGGCTACATAAGGTAACTATGGGGGCTATAGAGAGCCACCAAAGCCCCCCGCGTGATGTTGAGGATTTGCATCAACCGCACCTGGGTCTATGAACGCGCAACGACTCAACGTGACTCTCGAGCGACTTGTGCTTCTGCAGAGACTGCGGTCTGCACCACAAAACCAATCACCAGGATGAGCGCCAGCAGGGCAATCTGGGCACATGCGCAAACTTCAGCATTTCTGGTGAAGCTACTATGGTCTTCCGAAGAATCAAAACCAACAAGAGCTGTCTGTTGCGGCAGGCAGCAATCCCAACGTACATGGAGATGTCGGGCTGGCTGAAGTACTGCAGCTCGTCCACGACCTGCAAATCCTCGTTCACCTCTCGGGAGCCCAAATAACCTAATTAAGGGGTACCCTAAACCCTAAACCCTAAACCCTTAACCCTAAACCCTAAACCCTAAACCCTAAACCCACTAAGGTCCCAATGGTCCCTTCTTTCGTCCCTTGACCTAAACGTCCCGAAGCCCAGCAGCCGAAGCTTTCACGGCTTGTCAAGGCCCGGGCCGTAAAGAGGCATGGCCAGGACCCAGAATTACACCTGGCTCTGATAAGGGTTTAGGGTTTAGGGTTTGGGGTTTAGGGTTTAGGGTTTAGGGTTTGGGGTTTGGGGTTTAGAGTTTGGGGTTTAGGGTTCAGACATTAGGGTTTAGGCATTAGGGTTTTAGGGTTGCTCTCAGATGTCGGCTGCCTATCCCCGCGCCAATCGGTTCGGCCCAGCAAGCCGAAAGCATCACAGAAGGTCCTCAGGAACCACCCTAAACCCTAAACCCTAGACCCTAAACCCTAAACAATTGCGGGACATGGCACTCGGGGATAGCACCTTTTTGACGGTTCTCGGCTCTCACTGAGGCTGGCGCTCAGCCGACTTCCTGATCAGAAGCCACGTCAGGTGCCCAAGCTTCTAAGGGTTTAGGGTTTAGGGTTTTTTTGTTTTTTTTTTGCTAGGGCCCTGCGCGCGGGGTTTAGGGTTTAGGGTTTAGGGTTTAGGGTTTAGGGTTTAGGGTTTAGGGTTTAGGGTTTAGGGTTTAGGGTTTAGGGTTTAGGGTTTAGGGTTTTGTGTTTAGGGTTTAGGGTTTAGGGTTTAGGGTTTAGGGTTTAGGGTTTAGGGTTTAGGGTTTAGGGTTTAGGGTTTAGGGTTTAGGGTTTAGGGTTTAGGGTTTAGGGTTTAGGGTTTAGGGTTAGGGTTAGGGTTTAGGGTTTAGGGTTTAGAGGAGACAGAGGATCAATCTGTAGATGCACTCCTGAAGCCCATACTTGGACGCAGGTCGGAAAGGTCGGTTCTCTTTGCCGGGCATGTCTGCCTGGTTCTTCGTAGGGAATGAGGGAATGAGGTACCCTATATAATCCCTTAAAGGGTATGCATAGGGTACCTCATTCCCTCATTCCCTACTAAGAACCAGGGAGATGTAGGCACGTGCATGCACCCCATGAAAGAAGACAGCAGACGGCCTTAACCTTGATCAGCTCTCCCCCCAACATGCGCTTCAGTTACTTGAGGGGACTGCGAATCCTAAACCCTAAACCCTAACCCTAAACCCTAAACCCTAAACCCTAAACCCTAAACCCTAAACCCTAAACCCCAATTCTTCCCCGCTTCAGCCCAGGGGCTGCTGGATGCCACCAGACACAAGGTCGCAGCAGGTGCCAACATGGCCCTGCCACCGCATCTCAGACTTTATCGAACAAGGGTTTAGGGTTTAGGGTTTAGGGTTTAGGGTTTAGGGTTTAGGGTTTAGGGTTTAGGGTTTAGGGTTTAGGGTTTAGGGTTTAGGGTTTAGGGTTTAGGGTGTAAAACATGGGGGGTTGACGATATTAGGGCGCGTACCTTGTTGAGGTCCTCATTAAAAGGGGATCCTACTAGTTGGGGGTCTAAATATTTGGGGTCCCCTGATTATCGTAAACCCCACATCGCAACTCACAAGTTTCGAGTCAAACGCCAGGCAGAAGGTTGATTGCAATATGCCTTGCTGCACTCCTGGGCTTAAAACAAAAGGACAACGCTTTCAAGTACATGCCATTCATGGGGAATTATGAAAATAAGCGGCCCCGACTTTAGACCCCCAACTAGTAGGATTCCCTTATCATAAGGACCGCAATAAGGTACCCCTAATTTCGGAAACCCCTATATCCAAGTCTATGTAGAACAGGCCTGCATGGGACAGGGCAAAGTCAAGAGTTAAAACTTTACAGAGCAACAGTAGCAGCAACACAAACCCCCAGTCATGGCTCGTCAGGAGAAGCTGCGACACCCCACGCACAAGCAAGCTCCGAATTCCGTAGCAAGGTTGAAAACCCCAACACTCAGACGCGAACGCAACAAGAAGGAGAGGCAAAGGGCAAAACCAGGGGAGGCAAAGTCACCAAGTGACTGCAACAGCTCGGAGCAGGAAGACAAACCACACACGAGAATGTCCAAGATGCCTGCCCTCACAGCTACCTTCTGCAGTAAGATGCCACATAAACGGCCCGCAACAGTGAGCCATTTGAGAACAAACCGCCCCCCCCCCCCCCCCCCCCCCCCCCCAGCTTTGCAGGCCGTTTCGGCCTGTAGGTCGTTGCAGCAACGGAAAGGATCTCCTGAAACTAAGAAATGTCGAGGAGGGTTCAGAGACTAAGGCGTTTTGGTGTGAAGTGTGCTTTCAGCACTCCGGTATATTGGTGTATGTACATATACATATATATATATATACATACATATACATATGTACATCTATATATTTATTGGGAGCATCCTACCTTGGGGCAACATGAATGACACAACATCCTACTTCAGATCAAGCTCGCTCCAGGTAAGATCTGAAGTAGGGTTTATATTTCTTGTAACCCCCAAAAGGACACCAGTATATACACTCACCAACATTACAAAGGAGCCTTATCTACACTCACCGACAACAGTCATATAAACCCTGCTTCAATCTGACCCCTTCCTTGATACCGGGCAATTTCACCACGACCGCCAACATGGACCTGGGACGTAAGTTGCACAAGGACTCGCGGCTGCTGCGAGGCAGAACTGGCGACGTGCGCCAGCGCATCGGGCTGCGCGCAATTGGCAAAGCCCACGGATTTTTGGACATGAACCTCAGCTTGACTTGACTACAGATGTTGCTTTGGGTGTATATAGGCTTCTGGTTTCAAGCTTCGGGCCTGGACATGCTTGCAGCGTGCAAGGTGGCAAGCTCTGAGGAGCATGCGTTGTGCCGCTGCGAACTGCGACCTTTGCAGAGACTCGAGACCCTGGAGCCGAAAAAACCTGAGCCTCTAGGATGTTCCCCCCGGTAGCAACAGGCGTGAAAGCTACGCTTAGATTCAAGGAAAAGAGAACTTTAGTGAGACTTTCCTGTCGTCATGGCTGCTAACGCAAGGGGGGAGCAACCTGACACAAGCCCATGCGCAGCGCTACTGGGCCATTTGCCTCAACGAAGCATCTCCCCATCGCCTGGAAGCAGCAATGGAAAAGGCTTCAGGAGCCCTATGCAGAGAGGCGAGCAAGACAGCACAGCAAAGCAGCAAAACAGCTCCCCCCCCCCCCCCCCCCCCCCCCCCCGTGGAGCTTTTTTCCTTCGGTGCTCTGCTGTTCTTGTCTGCTTTGGATCCCGCTCTTGTTGCACATTCGCAGCCGCATGAGGGAAGACTTCACGGCCTCACGCCAGGCCTTCGAACAAGCTTCGGGTTTAGGGATCCTTAGGGATCCTTAGGGCTTACAGTACAGCACATCACTGTCGGGAAAGGGAACATCATGCCTCTGGCTGCTCCTGCTTGAGGTATTTGAAGTCTTGGAGCTCGGCTTTCAGGTGTGCTCGCTCCTTCTTGCGCAAGTCTGTCCACACCCTTCGACACGCGCGGAACATCAAGGGGTCCTCATCATCAAGGATATCCCATTGGATGCGCTCCATCTCGAAAGCCTCCCGGCAATGGGCTGCGTGGCTTTGATATGCTTTCATGCATCTTAGCATTGTTGGCACGCTTTGGATGGTCAGGACCTGTCTGGTCACTACAGTTGCAGCCCAATGACGGCGGGCTGTGGGCAGGTCCGGTGACCTCGGACCCCATACCCCCGCACTTGGGCCCAGTGGTGGTCACCTGACCTGGACCTCCCTGCCTAGTCCGGGTTGGCGCTTCTTGGCGCTTCTTGGCGGCTCCAACCAAGCTTTGCTTACCAGACAGCAAGTGCGCCGAAGGCTTTTTTGCGCCACCTGCTGACAAACAAGGCCAATGTGGTCCTTTAGCAGCCTTTTAGTTCCCCCCCCCTCTTCGGGGAACTCGAAAATCCACGGCTTCTTTGGAGTGCCGACGTGCCCATTCCGTGGCTTGGCCGCTTGGCCTGTGGCATCCTGTGGCCCACAGAGGCCACAGACGTTCACAGCTAGCCGCTGTAGTTGCAGCGTGGCACGTGCCCGCCCCTCCGTTTGGTCTTCTGTTTCGGGTTCTTGTTTTTTGGGGAGAGGGGGCGGGGGGGGGGGGGGGGGGGGGGCAACCGGGGGGGTGGGGGGGGTTTGGGAGGGTTGGGGGGGGTTGGGGGGGGGGGGGGGGGGGGGGGGGGGGGGGGGGGGAGGGGGGGGGTTTCGTGCATGGTGCCAATGGTGCCGTGCAGACTTGGGCAGTGTCCAGGAACTCGCCTCATGCGGCTTGGCCAGGCTTTTTGTTTTCTCCGTGCAGGAGAAGACAAACACAGAGCGCATGACACCTCAGAAACTGAACACACGCCCCTATGTAGGCCCACCTGGCATCAAAATCCTGTCTGACAAACTACTATGTAGTGTAAAAGCATCTTGCTCAAAATTCGAAAATGAATCTACATCACGAATAACCCACGCTTGCCAGTGTTTCCTCAAGCCTGCTTTCCCTCAACATGCCTCCCGTATTGGGGGGGCGGCTATGCGCCGCGCACCCTGTAGTTGCTTCATGTCCCGACACCCAACCCCAACATGTTTTGCGGCCTGCCACACGGAGTCGTCAGCTTGCTGCCACTGGGCCTTCCTTGCCCGTGCCATCTTCTTCTTCAACTGCTTGGAGCTCACCACGGGCGGTATGGTGCAAGCTTCCAGCCAAGGGCGCAGCTTTGGCGCCGGGATAGTCCCATCCGGACCTGCTACCTCTGCCGCGGCACCGGACAGCGCCTTGGACTTCACCACCACAAGAGATGGCAAGGACGGCAAGGATGGCAAGGAATCCCAAGCAAGGGTCCTCAGCACGTTATCCAGGAGTGCCAAAAAGCAGCAGACGTCGTTCGTCGTCCGGTCCCCGCCGATGTCCACGAATACCTTCAGGCTGCTGCTGGCTTCCAGGAGCCTGGCCAGGCTTCCCTAACATTACATCTGAATCCAAGGGACATGCAAGGAATGCGAAGGGGCGTGACCCCAACAATCTGTCAAGCCACTCTTTGCACAAGGCTCGCAGGCGTGCTTCTTCTTGAAAGCAGTCCAGCCACTCGAAACGGCAATTGGGAAAGCGTCGCCTGCTTTCCTGCTGCAAACGTCAGTAGGGACTATAGGACTATAAGCAGCAGCTTGCGGCTGGCTGTAGAAAAATGCTATCTGCCATCATCTGCCATCCATGCTCGTGTTGCTAGTCAGCCCAGTGAGTCTCCAGGGCAACTGCTACCCTTTGCGCTCCTCCACCAGGTCACGGCTGACATCGATGCCAATCACCGCCGAGGCGCGAGAAGACAGAATGTGTGTACACTCCTCATCACATCAAAAGCAACGGCGCAGTGACTGCGGTACTATGTTGAAAAGCCGTCCCAAGGCATAGATTTCCCAACTGGACACCACTTCTCGAAGCAAGAGGAACCTGCGTAAAGCCTCGCCACCCCGAAGCAGCACGGCCCTCGGCCCCATCTCACTATGGTTGAGGTTTTAGGGTTTGGGGCCCCTCACCATCCTTCACCACCCACCCACCCACCCTGCCTACGCATGCCTGCCCGATCTTGCGTTCACATCTTCGTCATCCCCAGGTGTCCAAAAAAGGACTAAACGAGAATCCAATCCAGAGGGGTTTTCGGCGAAAAGCGTCACGGAAAGCGCTCACCTGCATGAACCGTCTGAACAGTGGCTTTGCTGTCTCCGTCAAGGATCGCCAAGTGAGGAACCTATCTCGAGCACTGCATCGTCCTGTCCAATTGCAAGCACCGAATAAAGAACGAAGTAAACAACGTGATACAGTCAGAGTATATATATATATATGCACACTCATAATATGTGTATGTATATTAATATACTATTGCGTCTATATATATATATGTACATATATATATATATATATTAGAACCAATATAGGGCCTCGCCTGCCCGACTTGAGTTCGTGCAAGGCGCCGGTAGCCCACAGTGTCATGGACAACTAGCACGCACGTTGGCGACACTACCCGAAGCAAACGGCGACGTGGCGCGTGAAGCAAGTGGTCACCGAGCTGAAGTGTGACACGACACTCGTGCCTCAGAAAGTTACATAGGCTGATGTCCAACGCACCAGACAACTTTCCTATGCTGCTATGCCATCTGATGCTGGGTGGCGACCATACTCCTCTCTGCCAGCAGTCTAGGGTCTAGGGAAAATGGTAGCCGAGCTGCTTCTGTATTGGCGAGATGCGCTTTGACAAGCCCAAGCAGAGCTCGTCGTGCTGAAGAGACGAAGGCATGACACCTTCTCACAGAATTACTTTCGCAGCTCAAGAGTGTGAGCAGGGAAGCCCAGGCCGGTTCCCCAAAGCCACCGGTTTCGGGTGGGATGGGGTGGGGTGGGGGGAATGAAGGCCTGGCGAAAACACTGGTACTTACAGACAGCAAAGGATGCTGGACGTTTCCCGAACAAGACTCGCTGTCACAAGAGTTCATGCATTCTGCGAGCATGCCCGAAAACACTGCCATTTTTTGTGCGTTGGCCGCGTTGTAAACCATAGTGCGCAAGGACATGGTGATGGCAATGATGCTGACAACGACGCTGATAATGATGATGATGATGATGATGATGATGATGATGATGATGATGATGATGATTTCTATCACAATGATAATGACAATAGCAAACACCGTGGAAAACAACACAATGATTCACGGGCATGTTTTCTAGCGCTTGTCAAGTACACTTCTGCAACATCCCTGCATTTTTGCACTTTGAAGCCCCTCAAATCACCTGGCGCCCCGTGCGCCTGCACCCATTGAGGAATCATGGGATTTCGACACTTTGCCACAGCATTTGAAGCTCTGGTTCAAGCTGGGCCACCGGAAGGCGAGGAGAAAGACACCACAACCGCGTGATGCTGACGGTCATTGCAGCCAGTGTCGAGAAACACCCGGTCGCCTCACATATCCGAACTGGGCCCTGTACCCTAACTCCTGCAGCCCCTACGGCCGATGGCTCTCCTTAGAAACGCTTTCGACTTAGGAAGTACACTTAGTATCCCCTAGAAACCTTATGAGTCGGCGTCACAATTGCTTGTTTAAGCCTTGCTTGTTTTTGAATTAGCGCGTCCCCTATCGTTTTCCATGTTTTTCACCTACCGCACTTCTATCCTATAGTATCAAATAACAGTATCATTTTAGCGCGTCCCCTATCGATCCTCGGCATTTTGCCGCAACAACTACACCCTCTACTAAAATAAGTAAGCGGCAATTTTGACCGCGTCTCTTATGAGAATCCCCATAACCCACCCTTACAAACCCTACTTACTACTTACTAGGTCAAAAGGGCTTCCTAGTACTCAACTGTACCTGGACCGAAGTCTGTCAGCGTCGCAGCCCAGCCCGGGGAGAAGTCGCCGCGGCGCTCCGCGGGCGTCTGGGACAACTGCCAGAGGTGGCTCGTGAAGGGGAGCTCCGGGATCTGTTTGGCCGCTTCCGCCATGGCTCAGAGAGCATGCTGCTGCTTCATCGCCACCGCTGGGGTCTTGAGCTTAACCCTGAACCCTAAACCCTAAACCCTAAGGGGCTCGCGCCGGGCTGGGGGACAGGTTCAGAGATGTCTCGCATGAGTGAGCGCATAAAGGGTTGAGCGAATCTGTGCCCAGCCTGCAAGCCAAAATATGGCAGACACGCTCGTCCAACGCCTCTGGACGCACATTCTCAAGCTCAAAGCCTTGCTTAACGTACGCACACACACAATCCCTAAACCCTAAACCCTAAACCCTAAAAACACGCACACACACACACACACAGACAGACACAGACGCAGACGCAGACGCAGACGCAGACGCAGACTCAGACAAAGACTCAGACTCAGACACAGACACAGACACAGACACAGACACATCACGATGCGGGCCATCCTGAAAGCAGGTCTGGTTGTGGAAAAGCGTGATGCTGCATTTCCCAACCTGCCAGGGGATGTCGAGAGGCGTCCAAAGTTCAACCCTCAACCCTAAACCCTAACCCTACACCCAAAGACCCTACACCCTAAAACCCTAAAACCCTAAACCCCAGACCCTAACGCCTAAGACCCTACACCCTAAAAACACGGCAAAACAGCCAACAGAATGTCAGAAAGCCAAACAAAAAAAAACACAGGGGCCTCCCATCCCTGGGCCGCCTGCGACATCTCCAAGACCTTCGTCTCCCCCAGAGCCCCCTGGTTCCCAGTAGGTTTTGGGTTCAGGGTTCAGGGATTTAGGATTTCGGGTTTCGGGTTTCGGGTTTGGGGTTTGGGGTTTAGGGCTTTTTTTTTTTATGGCAGCCATGCGCATGCAAGTGCTTTGGCGTGTCTTTTGAACAAGTGGGGGCAGCGCGTCGGCGCAGATTCCAGGAAAGACAGGAAGAGGGGGTCCCTATTAAGGAGGTGTTTGAGGCCTAAGAAGTCTTGCCTTTGCTCCTCCGTGTTTATGCGGTTTAGCCTTATGTATTCTTTAAGCACCGGTAATGCATACTCAGTATTGAGTTCCAGCCAATATCTTTGGGGGTTTAGGGCTTAGGGCTTAGGGTTTAGGGTCTCATTTCCAAGTTCAGGGTTACAGGCTTTGGGGGGTTGCTTCGATGAGGGTCGCCGACTCCAGACCTCATTGGTGAGAAAAAAGCCAAAGGGGATGACGCCTTACTAGGGTAGGGGATGACCGAAGACTTGAAAAAGTGTACTCAATGTGGTAATGACTGTCCCTAAACCCTAAACCCAAAACCAGGCATCCTGCCGAGATCAAAGTAAGATCAAGAGAGTCGAAAAGAAGAAGCAATGGAAGTTGAACAATCCTAACAATAACGGATTCAGGCAAAAGTTTGTTGAAGAGAACAGGGATGGAATAAAGGAAAGAGAAAGCAATATAGGCAAAAAAAAGAACTGGCAAAGATACGAGAATGCTCCGAGAATACAGCAAAATCATGTAACATTGCTAGCTATGCGATTATGACATTAAGAAGTGCAAGTGATCACAACACGAAATACACACCAATACTTCTTACAAAAACTCTGAGCAGTGCAAAACTGGAACGACAAGAGAAAAGGGAACTGCATTATGGTCTGGAATACTTCTGTTGCTCGACATGCAAGAGGACAGACATGTAATATGACTGGTATAAGCATGTATCCAGCGAAGAATAACACAGCTTGAGATGGTTTAAGTTATGTGGTATATGACATCTATAACTCAAAGCATGTGCGAGCTTGCTTTGCAGATTTAGGAGGCGGATTGAGAATGCTTGGCGGGAGAGGAAAGGCGAGCAGGGGTGGAGGTCTGAGGACAGAATCTGCTTGCTGCTGTATCCAGATTTTGATCTTAGGGGTTTTAGAGGGTTGAGGGTGTTTCGGATGTTTCGGGTCTATTGCGGTTTTTTGGGGGGGGGGGGGGGGGGGGGGGGGGTTGGGGTTAAGGTTCAGGGGGCTTGGGGCTCAGTTGCTTCAAGTCGTATGCCCGCGGCGATGATGGCCACGAGAACCAAGATCATCACAACGATGAGGCCTGCAAGATGGGAAAAGTGGCAGCTCAAGCCCTTCCTTCACACAGCGCCATGGCCCGAGACCTTCAGGCCAAAACCATCCAAACCTCGAAATCCCAAGCACCGAAACCCGAAATCCTAGGCCTTCTAAGGCGTGAACCCTAAACCCTAAACCCTAAACCCTAAACCCTAAACCCGGAAGCTCTTGCCAAGGCCTGCAGCGGCATAGAAGTATCGAGCCGAGCTTCGCTTGGGAGCCTTCACATCGGGAGCCTGCATCGTCCGGCACATTAGGGTTTAGCGTTTAGGGTTTAGGGTTTAGGGTTTAGGGTTTGGGGTTTAGGGTTTAGGGTTTAGGGTTTAGGGTTTAGGGTTTAGGGTTTAGGGTTTAGGGTTTAGGGTTTAGGGTTTAGGGTTTAGGGTTTAGGGTTCTTGGCTGGGGAATGAGGGAATTGGGGCCCTAGATATACCCTTAAAGGACTTATAGGGAATCAGGGCCCCTAGATACACCCGTAAAGGAATGATATAGGGTACCTCAGTCCCTCATGCCCTACGACGACCAAACATCGCCTAACCCCTGGCTCCCCAAAAGGGGGTACCCCCAATTTCGGAAACCCCTCCAAAACCCCAACACATCCCCAAATGTAGGGGTATCCCGTTTACACCCCATTGTAGAAGAGAAATCCCCTCAAATGGATCCCTACCCCTACTTTCGGAAACCCCCTAAATGTTTTTGATATGCTACTACTTGGGGGTCTCTACTTTAGGGGTCCCCTACTTTCGTAAACCCCCAGGCTTTAAAGCCCTAAACCCCAATACCCCTTAACCCTAAACCCTAAACCCTAAACCCTAGTCCCTAACCCCCAAAACCCTTATAACCCTAGCAACCTACTATCCCTATGAAACGGATCTTCGCCTCAATGGCCAGCTCCATCAACTCCTCTGCCCGGGCGGCTTGCACGATGGTGCAGCCTGCTTGCCTCACAGTTCCGGCACGGTTGCCCTAAACCCTAAACCCGAAAACCGGGGGCCCACACACGTAGGAAGCCAAGCCCACAACCCTTTCTATCATATGACAACTCAAACTTTAATGAATTCGTGGTTCATGGCCATTTTCTCGTGGTTCAGTTTTTCGTGGCTCAAGGCCATGGGTTAAATGCATTCGTGGTTCATGGCCATTTTTTCGTGGTTCAGTTTTTCGTGGCTCAAGGCCAGGGGTTAAAGGCGGGGTTTCAGGGCCTCAATCAAGGCCTGGGGATGAGGGTTTCAGGGCCTCAAGGCCTGGGGTTTAGGTCCTCTTAGCCAAGCCTCACCCATCAAAGGCCCAAATAAGTCTCGCAACAGATCGGCTCCTCTCAACCAAGTTCAATGAGGTTAACAAAATATTTTGTGTCCGTTCATTTCAAGGCTGTCACAGCACGCAAGAGATGCAATGGCAAGAAGATGAGGCTCACAAAATTAGGTGTTTTTGTTGTGTCCGTTCACTTCAAGCATAGGCCTTTGAAGCTGAGATGACTAGAGAATACTTTGTATTTTCGAATGTTCTGGGATTCTCTGGGTGGCCGTAAATATGACTTTACTATGAAACTGCTCGATCCGGAGCTGCTGAACACTAAACCCTAAACCCTAAACCCTAAACCCTAAACCCTAAACCCTAAACCCTAAACCCTAAACCCTAAACCCTAAACCCTAAACCCTAAACCCTAAACCCTAAACCCTAAACCCTAGCCGAAACCCTAAACCCTAGAACGGCCTCAGCAACTCAAAGAGGTCATTGACTTTGGCGAGCGCCTCCAGGCGTGCGTGCGAGGAAACGCCCACTTCGGGCACTCGTCTGGGCAATTCTCCAAAACTCGGGTCCCCTTTTTGAGGGTTTAGGGTTTAGGGTTTAGGTTTGGGACTTAGGGTTTAGGGTTTAGGGCTTAGGATTTAGGGTTTAGGGTTTAGGGTTTAGGGTTTAGGGTTTCGGGTTTCGGGTTTCGGGTTTCGGGTTTAGGGTTTAGGGTTTAGGGTTTAGGGTTTAGGGTTTAGGGTTTAGGGTTTAGGGTTTAGGGTGTGTCAGGGGAGGGCGCGCGCTCGGGTGTGAAACACCCCGGGCCGCGCGCTCCCGTTGCCCGTCAACCCACCCCGGCCACCCACACTATACTCTATTAGGGTTTAGGGTTTATGGGGTTTAGGGTTTAGGGTTAGGGTTTGGGGTTTGGGGTTTAGGGTTTAGGGTTTAGGGTTTAGGGTTTAGGGTTTGGGGTTTGGGGTTTAGGGTTTAGGGTTTCGGGTTTAGGGTTTAGGGGGGTCCTTACCACAGGGGTGCCGTATGTCTTTTGGGGACCCAAAAAGGGACCCTGATTTAGAGAACTGCCCATCTGCAACCCTGTGCCACCCTGATGACGGTGCGGTCATCAGAGTGATGTCTCAACTGCAGGGCCAGCAGCACCTGGCGAGGGCGCCACGGTTTAAGGGTTTAGGGTTTGGGGTTAAGGGTTTAGGGTTTAGGGTTTAGGGTTCGGGGTTTAAGGTTTAGGGTTTAGGGCCTAGGGTTTAGGGTCGGAAAAGCACGAGGGGGACCGGCTGTTTCTGGAGCAACCCTGCCTTCTCAAGGGGACATAGATCTTAGGGTAGTTACATGGTCCCTTCTTATAACCCTTTAAAGGGAACCCCTGCATACCCCTGAAGGGCCCATACTTCAGAACCCTTTAAAGGAGGTAAGGGACCATACTAAGGGCCCAGAGACTACCCTCCGAGACATAGATTGCCTCGTCATTCTTCCGCACGATGTCCGCAAGCTGCCTTCGGGCGCGTAGAGCTTCGTGCACAGCCTCAACATCAGGACTTCCCAACATTGGGGTATAGGGACTAATGAAAAATATTGGGGGGTAATAGGGGGTAATGGGAGTAATAGGGTGTCCTCGTACGAATAGTCCAGTATATTTGGGGTAGAAAGGGCTACTCCAAGCTTTTACCAGATGTCTTAGGCTGGCCTGTTGCGAAGGTGCAAGAAGCTTCGACTGCCGAAAAAGCTTGGCAAAGCATGCTCTGAACCCTGAACTCGAAACCCTTGACCCGAAACCCCAAACGATCCCTAAACGCCCGTCTTACTAACTCAAACCCCAAACCCCAGCAAAGTACAAACTCTAGATCCCTAAACCCCAGGCTTCCCCCCCTTTGTACTCCTCCCTACACCCCCCCCCCCCCCCTGATACTCCCTTGATGCCCCCTTACCCCCTCATACCCCCCCTAAACCCCAAACCCTAAACCCTAAACCCTAAAAGCCTTTTGGGGACCCCCTAAACCCCTCAAACCCTCAAACCCCCCCCCCCCCCCCAACAGGGGCTCTCCTCCACACCGCCCTGAGTTGGAGGAGGCGGGGCGACGTCGACATGTGCCGGAGGCTGGGGCGGCTCCCTGCAGCAGCTTAATGGGGGGGCTCGATTGTTTTTTTTTTTTTAAGTAGGGTCATAGTTCTGTAGGATGTGACTACCACCTCCCCGCCACCCCTCGAATTCTAGCTGTAGTGTGGGCATATTTTGAGGAGGAGGCGGAGGAGGAGAGGCTTGTATCCGGGGGAGGGGGAGGGGACTGACCATAGGGGCAAGCGCACGGGTATCCAACGCAGCTTCACACCAAGTGGTAAGAGCCCACTGCTAACCTTCCCAAGAAGATTCCCTGCAACAGCGGCAGCACGCAGCCAAGAATGCTGGAGAGCAGTAGGGGGGGGGAGCCCTCATGTTCGTTGAATCGGTTCCGGCGCGCGAGCCGCAAGCAAAAACATCTGAGCACCCAGCATGCGTCATGCAGCCTCGCGGCTGCTATCCGGCTGCCCAGCTAGCATCCCGAGCTAAGGCAAAGTCCCAGAAAGGCTGCATACGGGAGTTAAGCTTCTCATGAAACCCCGTGAAACTCAGCTCTCTTGATGGCTGTGTCGACTGCAGAAGTGTCCGTGCGATTGACCGTGAGGAGTGACTTGCTTGGCAACCCTCCTTCCCTTGAGCCCGTGTTAAACTGCCCGAGGCACGCCTCACGCTGCAAGACTTTGCCACCAAACTGCAGAAACCCTTTTAAACCCTAAACCCTAAACCCTAAACCCAGCGCAAGACAGAACCGAGACCGAGGGCGTGGAGAAAGCCACTTTCAGAAGGGTCGATGCCGCCGGATACAGGCCCGGAATCGGCGCAAGCAGGAGATTCCAACTTTGCCCCCCCCGCCAAGAAAATGATCTGACGGAAGGAGCAGCCACGGGCCTCTGGGGGGGGGGGGGGGGTTAGGAAAACAGGGGGCACCTAATAGAGCCCCCTATAAGGACCACAATAAGGTACCCCTTGACTTTCGGAAACCCCCCTTTTGCCTAGAGAGGTCAGTGGCGACATGAGACCCCACTCCCTTCTTTTGACGACCATGGAGGCCCAGTCAGTGGGAGCCCTCGATGACCCTCCGAGAGGTGCCGAAAAAGTCGCGCGCGCCGATGGCCGGGGCTCAGCTGAGAAAAGGTTGCTGCCTCGGGCTCCAGCTATAGAAGCTTATGTAACTCAGCCATTATTCTTATAGTTTTCTTGATGATAGAAATTAAGTACACAAACGCGCCCAAAAGACCACAACAAGAGGCCACAAAGGCCACGCAAGCCGCAGAGGATCACAAGCCTGGACCAGCCTGGGGCCCCCGACATTTCCCTGGCCTGCCCAGGTCGCAGGAACCTTCTGATGCCGGTGTAGGCCAGCGGCCTGGGATGGTTTGCAGAAGCACCCTTATCTCTGCAAAAGTCAACAGAGAGTGAAAAACATGCACCTAAACCCTTAAACCCGCCCTAAAGCCCCTGAAGCCCCCAAACCCGCCCTAAAGCCCCTAAAGCCCCTACAACCCCTCAAACCCCTAAACCCTCGACTCTTCCCGACTCCTCACTTCTTCCCCTAGTTCTTAGTAGGGAATGAGGGAATTAGGGCCCTACATATATATATATATATATATCCTTTAAGGGATTCTATAGGGTACCTCATTCCCTCATTACGAAGAACCAGCCAGTCTCTTGAAGCCGGCTCTCCGAGGCCAGGGCAGCAGGCAGAACACCACGGCCAGGCAGCCGAACTCCCTGAGCAGCCCCACTTGGAGGTTCATGGTACTTATGACCCAAGTTATAACTGTACCTATAAGGGCTTAGGGTTTATTTAGGGTTTAGGGTTTAGGGTTTAGGGTTTAGGGTTTAGGGTTTAGGGTTTAGGGTTTAGGGTTTAGGGTTTAGGGTTTAGGGTTTAGGGTTTAGGGTTTAGGGTTTAGGGTTATAACTGTACTTATGACTGTACTTATAGCCATATTAGGGCACTTAAGGGGCTCATAAGTAGGTTATAAGTACAGGTATAGCTGGTTAATAAGTACTAGGCTCTGCTGATTCTCCCAGGCTATGAAGGGCCTTCACCCAAAGAGCCAAATACCCCTTGATTAAGGAGAATACCTCAAACATCGAAGGGGTCCTGAACAGGATTTAAGGCCGATTCCTCATTTAAGGGGGTATTGGGCTCTTTGGGCACAAGGGCCTGTGGAGCAGTGCTGAGCTTCCTTGCGTGGTCAAGCTGGCATGCTCTTCCTCGACCTGGGGCAACTTCCACTTGGGGTGGTTCAGGGCTTTGGGAGGTTTGGGCTTAGGGTTTAGGGTTTAGGGTTTAGGGTTTAGGGTTTAGGGTTTAGGGTTTAGGGTTTAGGGTTTAGGGTTTAGGGTTTAGGGTTTGGGGTTTAGGGTTTAGGGTTTAGGGTTTAGGGTTTAGGGTTTAGGGTTTCGGTTTAGGGTTTAGGGATCAGGAAAGCTAAAAGCATACCGAAACAGGCCGGCGGGCAGCAGGGTGCCCGCAGGTCGATGCAAACAGCTCCGTCCAAACGGCCTCAGACAGACGTTACGCAGCCGGGGAATCCCAAGACACCCATGGCTCTCTTAGGCCCCATCTGAGGAGGGGTTGAACACCCACACATCATTCAGCGTGGTCCGCTTCGTCGAGCCAGGCAACATCTCACCTAGTACCCCAAAGAGCAGTCCAGGTGGCTTGGCACTGGAAGGCCCCGCCCCCACCTGCGAAAACCGCAAGGTGCTCCGTGCCCTTGTAAAGAACTTCTGACCTCGGGAAGGGTCCATAGGACTCCGACTCTTCCTAGCAGTATGCAATCACCGAACAAGGACCACTCGAAGATTGAGGCCCACGCACTCCCGGCATAAAGCGTGCGCTGGGCGCCATACCCTGCAGCTCTCAACTGCGCTCCTTTGGCCACAAAACGACAACCGCCGGAGCTTGAGTCCACCGGCCACTGGGACGTGCTCCGTCCACATGTGCGTGTTGATGTCGTAGCCTGTAGGCTTGGAACTGTAGACAGTCTGAGCATTTGGCTCACATTCGTGCTCAGAACGAGACTCCCTAAGCCCACGGCTCCACACATCAGAGAGCACGGAATCAGCCGCCCGTCGCTCGGACTGTCGGCCGCCATAAATCTGGCGAGGTCTCTGCCCTCCTCTCTCCGGTACACGCCGCTTCGCAGAAACATCTTGCCAGGTCTACGTAAAGCTTGTCGTTCAAGGTGGCAGCACCATGATGATCTCGAGGGCAAGGCCTCCATGCCACAAACTAACAAACTAAGGCCTTTGGCCATTACTATTACTATTGTCATTACTATGACTATGACTATGATTATTACTATTACTATTATCACTATTACTAATACTATTACCATTACTATTACTATTACCATTACTAATACTATTACCATTACTATTACTATTACAATTACTATTACGATTACTATTACTATTACTATTACAATTACTATTCCTATTACGATTACTATTACTATTACTATTAATACCACTATTACTATTACTTTTATCATTCCTATCATTATTACTAGTGCGCTGCCAGCTGCTTCAAGGCCTGGCACCTTTCGTCGGAGCCTGGCTCCAGGAATCCTCGGCAAGTGGCACACGACGGGTGGCAGACAATTCAGTTTCGGGTTTAGGTTTAGAGTTTAGGGTAGGGTTTAGGGTTCAGGGTTCAGGGTTTAGGGTTTAGGGTTTAGGGCTTAGGGGACCTCACGACGCACACTACAGGCCTCGACGAAGTCGTACAGCCAAAGGTCGTCGTAGTACACGTACACCTCACCAGGGCGCTCAAGCCCTACGCCCTTTGGCGCCGCTTGTTCACACTGCGGACATGGCTTGGTGGGCACCGCGGGCTTTCTTCGAGATGCAGGCAACATCCCCCTACACCTCATCGTCGCACGTTCACAATGTTAAGATTCGGACGCTGGTGTCCTTGTGCTCTTCCTGGTGAGCTGCAAAAAACAGGCCACGTGCAACACCAAATTGATGTGTTCGCACTCGGTGTCAGACGCTCCCAGCACTTAAGTGGCGGCCCCCGAACATGGCCAAGTACTTCCTGCAACGTGACATGCAAGACATTGAGGACCCCTGACAGGGTCCAGCACAGTGAACTCAGTGAAAGGCAACTGCAGGCAAGAGTCTTTCCAAGATTGTCGCGAAGGAAAGACCCAGTTCCGCCCCATCCTGATCGATCCAAAGTCCCCAGTGGCTCGGGTCTTCAGAAATGGGTCTTCTGAAGCCAAGCAGCGGCACCCCGCTGGGAACGGTGCACCTTCTCGCCACCTCACATATAACGGCAGGTACATCTCAGGCCCGATGCTTCAGGAGCTTCCAAGCATCACCGAGCCTGGGAGGATGGCTGGAGCCCTCTGCGAGCATCTCATCCTGTGAGGACATGTGACAAGCCCCCCACCCCGAATTGGCATCAATATAAGTACACACATCATCACAAAGGTGCAACCGTATTATGTGTATCTATATCTCTCTCTCTCTCTCTCTCTGTGTTGTTATGCTTTTTCATGTCTGTTTCTATATATATATATATATATAGACATATATATATATATACGTGTTTTTGCTTATTTCACTCCTTTATGTACGCATTTACATGCACACATATATATATATGTATATATATATATATATATATATATATACGTATGTATGTGTGTATGTATGTATGTATGTATGTATGTATGTATGTATGTATGTATGTATGTATGTATGTCTGCATGCATGCATGCATGCATGCATGCATGCATGCATGCATGCATGCATGCATGCATGCATGCGTGTGCTTACTTTTTCATGTACTTACCGATTTGTATGTCTTGTCCATCTATTCCTACTCTTCAGACTTCTTCAGCTACTCTCAGGCCCAGGCTTTGGAGATGGCCCAGAGGTCGATCAAGCACTTCTCTTTCCGCCTGGGCGTGTTGGGGGGTTTGGGTGCTTCGTGGACGCTCCGCGGACATCTTTTGGGGACCCTAGACCCTAAAGCCTAAACCCTAAACCCTGAACCCTGAACCCGGAACCCTCAACCCTAAACCCTAAACCCGAAACCCTAAACCCTAAACCCTAAACCCTAAACCCTAGACCCTAGACCCTAGACCCTGAGGGCCGCGACTGTGGTGTGTACTCAAGGTCCGGAAAGTTCTCCTCCATCTCCTCGACGGCCCTCTTTGCGCTTCTTGCAAAAACCACAAAAAACCCTAAACCCTAAACCCTAAACCCCTGCGCCCATGAAGCCTCACAAGGCGAAGGGCGACGCCAACACAGCGAAAAACCACAAAAAACCCTAAACCCTAAACCCTAAACCCCAAACCTAAACCGCAAAGTCTGGAGCCGGCGGAGCCTCTTTTCCAGGCGAGGGGTCGTCTGGGCCAGGGAAGCACACAATGGGGTTTAGGGTTTAGGGTTTAGGGTTTAGGGCTGAGGGTTTAGGGTTTAGGGTTTAGGGAATTTTGGCTTGTGTGGTCTTGCAATCGCGCCTTGCCCCCGAACATGATCACGTGCGAGTGGTTGGCCACAATGACATGGCCCCGCCTCGCAGGCCCAGGATGATTTCGCGCAAGCAACCCTAAACCTAAACCCTAAACCCTAAACCCTAAACCCTAAACCCTAAACCCTAAACCCTAAACCCTAAACCCTAAACCTGCCGGGCCTGGGCACCGGAGTATTCGATGTTCGCACCTTGCGCCAGGCGCCCCCACCTCCTGGAAGAGGCTTAAAGACCTTGTGCTCATGCCGCGTTAGGGGTTAGGGTTTAGGGTTCAGGTTTTAGGGTTTAGGGTTTTAGGGTTTGGGGTTTAGGGTTCAGGATTTAGGGTTCAGGGTTTATGGTTTAAGGTTCAGGGTTTCGGGTTTAGGGTCTAGGGTCTAGGGTTTAGGCTTTAGGGTTTAGGGTTTCTACGCTAGCACCTGTCGGCCACTCGAGAAGACGCAGCATGCTGAGGCTCGGAGGGCAGGTGACTCAAGTCTGCTCTGCATGCATGCTGCATCATCAAACGTAAGCTGCGCACCCAAACGTCATTCCTGGCGCGGGAGGGTCAGGTTCTATCCTGTGCGAGCACTCTCCAAGGGCACGTAGCCTTGCAAACTTCACGGACGTTTCGGTGGAGCCACCCATCAAGACCAGCTGACCTGCTCTTCTGACAGCCGCTGACACTCCATACTTGCAAGGTGCACCGACATGGATTCCGATTCCTCGTCTCGCAGCACATCAACTTGTGCGAGAACTGACAGATTCCCGGGCCCCCTGCTGTTGTTGAAGACAGGTGTGGCCCCTTCCTTCCTTGGACGTGCAGAGGGAAACCCCTCCTCCGCAACGTCAGACGAGGCTCAGACCATCTCCCCAGCGGGCCTTCACCGTAGTCGATCGGCGTCCTTTGCGGGTAGCTGGTCATCGATGCTCAGCTAGCGCACCATGCAGTCGACAGGGGTTGGGCGCCTCTGTGTGTACCTTTCCCCCCCCCCCCGCACCATGCTTCCGCGAAGGCGATGAGGCAATGAGCAGGATGAGCTGAGCTGCCGCACCATTGGTTGGAGTCCAGGTGAAATTGCCACATGTCCGACAGAAACATGACCTCAGTCCGCAAAATCCCAGAATGAGAGACATGCCCAAGCCCGCTGGCTGGCGCCCAAACCATTTTTCTGCATGCCATGTTTTTCCGGCTTGCGCTCCGCAACTCTGGGATGGGTCTTGGCGCAGCCCGACCAGCAGCTGCTCTACTTTCATAGCCTGAGCGTGTGAAGCTTTACAACGCCTCCATCCACACTCAGGTGAAAAGGAGCGTGGGGTCTTTCGAGGGTTTAGGGAACCCTAAACCCTAAACCCTAAACCCTGAACCCTAAACCCTAAACCCTAAACCCTAAACCCTAAACCCTAAACCCTAAACCCTAAACCCTAAACCCTAAACCCTAAACCCTAAACCCTACTCAACTCCGATCCAAGTGCCCTTTGGCTCCTCTTTCGGCTTCTCGGGAGCCCTCAGTTGCTGAGCTTCTCTTCCTTCTGACGCGGCCTGCTTGGCCTCGACCTCCGCCTGGCGAAAGGCTGACTTGTTGAAGGAGCCAGTGCATTGGCATCAGTTTGATATTCTGATCTTGTGATGTTCATATATTCTGAGATATGAATATATTATGATAGTCCTGTATTCTCATATTAGACTACAGGATTATGCTACTAATGACTATATTACTGCATTACTATGTTCGATATTTACTATGTTCCTATCCTACTTTCTTGCTATACTACCCTATTCACACATTACTATATTACTACTTGACTATTTTACTCTAGTAATTCTAGTACCATGGTAAAATAGTAACGTAGCAACTACTATACTGCTCTCTCACTATATTCTTGCCCTTGCAGCCAGGAAGCAATGGCTTTTGACATGACGCGCCTCAAATTCGCCCTGCCAGCCAGCGATGCGAAGCCGGGTTTCGGGTTTAGGGTTTCGGGCCTCGGGTTTAGGGTGTAGGGTTTAGGGTTTAGGGTGTAGGGTTTAGGGTCTCGAGGCGCCCGAAGGAATTTCTCTCTACAAAACAGAACGTAACAATAGAAGAAGAAGCTACGAATACACAAATACAAATCTAAGCCAATTTCATAATCTACGAAGAAGACTAGCAAGATAAATGCATGGTCCTTCCGTCATCGTCGCACTTGTCCTTCCTGTGCCGCGCCACGACCTGCATGCGCATGAGAGGAGATCCTGGGGCGCACGCAAATGGCAAAGGTTTCTGGGGCCCGTCCTTCTTGAACTTCTCATCACCTTGCGACTCAATAAGACACCACGTCGGGGCTTTGGGGCTTGCGTTCATGCTCTGCGGCCGCCGACACAAGCTCCAGCATCTGCGACCGAGCCGCGCGAATAGGCCTTCAGCTTGGCAGGAGACAGCCCGGTGGCAAAGCACTTGCCGCAGACGACCTTGCCCGTTGCCTGGGGGAATATCACGAGCCCACATGACAGAACTCATCAAAAATGCTCCAGCGCACTTGCTGAACTCACTGGGTTGCAGCTCCCGGGACATCGCACTCCATGCAATCGCTGGTCGCTTGTTCTTGAGTTTCAGCGATCCTGACAAGAGCATCCCTACTCTCTATGCATGCATAGAGAGGCTCCGGCACACCCTGATGAGATGGACTGAGCTGGTCACCCTGCCATCTTTCCGGTTCCCCTGCACCTGCACACACACACACACACAAGGCAGCTTTAACAGTGTCACTTGGGATGTTCCCCCCTAAACGAACAGTCCTTAGTAGGGATTATCGTACCCCCTATTGTAACCCCCATTAAGGACTGTTAGTATAAGGGGGAGCATCCTTAATAGGGATTATCGTACCCCCTATTATAGTCCCTATTAAGGACTGTTAGTATAAGGGGGAACAAAATGAGCAAGTGCTGGCAGCACTGCATCAAGGCCTGTAGCATTCTACGACTCCGGTGCCGTCGCAGTTATAGCCTTACTCATCAGGGAACTCGTGCCAGAAGCCACCGTACTAAGCCCTTTAAGGGAGTATATGGGGCACCTCAACCCTAAACCCTAAACCCTAAACCCTAACCTTAACCCTAAACCCTAAACCCTAAACTTAATTCCCTGCGCAGAACCGGTAAGTTGCGTCAGCCACGTATCTGCGATGCTCCGGGCGCCGCACAGTTCACAGAGGAGTTGTCGACGCTGATCATCTCCTTAGGGTAGGGGAGGCGAGGGTTCAGGGGAGGTCTAGGGTTTAGGGTTTAGGGTTTAGGGTTTAGGGTTTAGGGTTTAGGGTTTAGGGTTTAGGGTTTAGGGTTTAGGGTTTAGGGTTTAGGGCTTCGGGCTTAGGGTTTAGGGTTTAGGGTTTAGGGTTTAGGGTTTAGGGTTTAGGGTTTAGGGTTTAGGGTTTATTGCTTAGGGCTTAGGGTTAGGGTTTAGGGTTTAGGGCTTAGGGCTAGCTTAGGGCTTAGGGTTTAGGGATGAGCGTTAATGCAGCCTAGCAAGGATTTGCCAGCTTTTCCCAGTGCTGCGAGGCACAGCAAAGGAGGGAGCTGGGACAGCAATCAGGACGCCAGCCTGCAGAAAAGCCAGCAAGAAGCTCCAAAACGCATACTCTGCGGCACCCTAAACCCCAAACCCTAAACCTTTAACCCTAATCCCTAAACCCTAAACCGGTTCAAGTCTCTCTCGGACTCAACCTGACTCAACCTTTCAGTCGATGCCTGCAGCATTCCGCGTCGCTCAGTGCCCGTGCTGCCTCGATGCGCTCGTGGGAGAGCGAGACAGGACACAAATCGAGAGAGAGAGAGAGAGAGGAAAAACAAAAAAAAAAGACAGAGACAGAGAGATAGAGAGGAGAGCGAAAGAGAGAGAGAGAGAGGGGAGAGACAGAGAGGAGAGAGAGAGAGAGAGATAGAAAAAGAGAGAGAAATAACTAGGCAATTAAGCATTTCAAGTTGCAGCACGCGGATCGAGATGTCACTTCCAACCGAGCGGCCTGTGGAGCGACAGTTCTCCTCGTCGGCCTTGCCGTGTGTCACGAGAACCAGACATTACAATAGGGTCGTAAACGACTTGCGGTTTCTAACCCGGGTTGCTGATCAGTTCTTGGGATTGGTGCGGGCCTGCTGAGTTTCGGTTCAAGGGCTTCAAGATAAGGGTTCGTGGTGTAGGGGACTCCTGTGAGGTCCATGAATGACCTCAGCTTCAAAGAAAATCTGAGTTTCATATGCGGGCTTCTTACCGTAGGTTGCCTCGAAGACGCCTTGGGTCCTCATTACAACTATTCGACCTCATTGGTTCGTAGATCAAGAAATTTAGTGTCGAACTCAAGTTTTATGCTGGTTCTAAAACTGCTCCAAAAAGAGCTGGCGCAAGATCACCAAAGCAAAAAGAGAAGCACTCTGCTCAACGATCAACACATCCTTCGTCGAAGACCTGACGATGACACTTTCCATACGAAGTTTAGGGTTTAGGGTTTAGGGTTTAGGGTTTAGGGTTTAGGGTTTAGGGTTTAGGGTTTAGGGTTTAGGGTTTAGGGTTTAGGGTTTAGGGTTTCAGATGCAGATGAGAGGAACTACCTTGAACTCTCGTCGCACGTGTGGTGTAAAACGGCGACACAGGTACATTTGTGGATCTGGAGTTGAACTCTGCAGGCAATTTCTTCACATGTCTACAAGGAACTGGATGGAGAATGGTGAGAAGAGGTTGCAACATACTGTTGGACTTTCGAATTTGTGGGCACACATCCACGCTGCTGCTCTGATAACGGTTTAGAGTTTGGGGCTGTTATTGCAAAAATCTACAATACCAGAACCAAGCCGCAGGCAACGAAAATGGACTTGCAAGAACGGCTGATGCTTCGAGGCGGACTCTGGATTGCTGGCGTCGTCATTTTGGCACGAGAGAGCGTGCAGCTTTGGGAACACGGCATTCCATGGGAGGCCTAGGGTTTAGGGTGTAGGGTTTAGGGTTTAGGGTTTAGGGTTTAGGGTTTAGGGTTTAGGGTTTAGGGTTTAGGGTTTAGGGTTTAGGAGCATTGGGGGCCGTCCGGAGTTCCCGGAAGTTGACCCATCTGCTGAGGGCTCCAGCCAGGCATTGAGGACATCTTGTACATGCGTTGATTGTGTTTCACCGTTGGGTTCTGGGCATTCCTGCAATGCAGCTGGGTAGGCAGCCGCTATAGACTTGAGACGGCCTGACCGTCATTGAAACCTTTCGGATTCCTAAGTAGAAAACCCTCTGCCTGGGAGGCCCTGACTGCTGTCTTGCATCTTCGGCGCACCCAGTTACCTCAGGACGAAGGCACTGCAAGCTGCTCTCAGAGTTTCCGGAAAACCTCCGAAGAGCGCTGGGCTCAACGCATTGCCTGATGCTCCATGCTGCAGCGGAGGCGATCGCTGCAAGCGACAGGGTATGATGCCTCCACAGACAAGCCGCTTCGACCACAGGTTGCGAGGATGCATCCCAAGACAAAAACAACTACTCCCCTCCCCCTAACGAATATTGAAGCCCCCCTACTCCCCATATACCCCTCCCATGTACTCGAATAGAACTACAATAAGGGCATTCAATATTATGGGCTGGGGGGGGGACGATATTCGGAGGAGGGGACTACATCAGGGGCAACAACTCGATGTGCGCACCTGTGTCCGGTAGCATTGGAAAAGCTTGAAGCGGCAGCGTGAACAGCAGGCACACGCTGTGGCCCTGCATGCTTCCACCTCAGGAGGAAACCGGAAACAATCCGTCGACTACCCACGAGAGTTCACCAAAAACTCGATCTTTCCGGAACATGTGCAAGCTTCCAGCAGCTCAGGCCGACGCAGCTGTTGCAGTCTCCATGCTTCTGGGGAGCCCCTGTGGAGGCTACAGGCTGCAGAACCCACTGATGCCTTCAACCATGCGCAAGCACAAGGCCTGGCGTCCATGAGCTTGAGCGCCATGGCTGTCCAATCACAAGCCCGATGTCAGCTGAAGCCAAGAAGGAAAACAAGGTATGGGCCACGCCCTCATAGTTCACACATCTACGTGAAGCCTACCATGGCCTGCCAGAGACACACCTCTGCTTGAAGCCCAAATGGCACAATGCACTCGTGCGGTACCGAATCGTGAAAGTGAAACAGCATGGGCGAAAGTCCACAGACATCACGAACAAGAAAGCGCATGTGACCCAACACAAGTGCTGAGATCCAATACTTTCTTCTTCTCCTTGTGGCTTTTGCCCTTGCCGCCTTTGCCGCCTTTTCCGCTCCTGCACGCTGGACACGCGTGCCAAGTCTTGGCCCGGAATTCCGGGGTCCCATCCTCCACTCCCAACCTTTGCCGCCGTAGACAACCAGCATCTGACCGGGGGCTTTGCGGCTGCTGGGGGGATAAGGAGACCTAAAAGGGGGCCTAGCGGCCTAACGTGAGCAAGTCTACCCGGCTTGCCCATCGGTGTAGCCAGTCTGTCTACTAACCTGCTGCTAACCCTTCTTTTGGCAGTCGTAGTTGACTACGCGGCAGGGCTTCAAACACACGGCATGCCTGGAAAAACCCTATGTGACCACCCTCGGAAGCCTGCCAATGGGTGCCACTGACATTCAAAGCTGCCAGCAAAGGTGACCTTCGAAGTCTTGACAAAAAGGGAACCAGCCTTATACCCATCTTGCAGAGTTCAAGGACATGATCTGGGCTCGGCGCTTGCGGCATGGAGGGCCATCATCCAGCGAAACTTCTCCCTGTCAAGGGGCAACTACAGGAGAAGTTAAGCTTGGCTGCACTCAGGAGGGTAGCTGTAAATTAAACTTTTAGCTGCCTTACTAAGAAATCCAATAAACCCAAAAAAGGTAAGGATCTAAAGTTACGGTAAAGTACCACAAAGTAAGAACAGAGCCATTCCATTCTACGCGCCTCGTCCTCCTTCGCGCCGGTCGGGATGAAGTGCAGCCAGAAAAGCCTTGGATTGCTGGTCCTAAACCCGAAACCCTAAGCCCGAAACCCTAAACCCGAAAGCCTAAACCTTAGAAATCCTGAAAACAATCAGAATGGCGTGGACGTTTTTGCCTCTCACAGCTAGAAGACCTCAATTTGGAGGGCCAAGCCGCGCCACAACGACTGTTGGGAAGCGCGGCATCGCCATCACGGCCCGCTCGGCACAGGAAGGTACCCCTAAACCCTAAACCCTAAGCCCTAAACCCTAAAGGTACCAATTTACGTGCTTTGGGAGCTTGAGCTCAGGCCTTTGCTGATGATTCAACTCTCCCGAACCTCTGGGAGTCTTTAATGGGGCCCATGCAGCTCAAGTCAAGCGCAACGTGACACGTGGCATATCCAGCTCGATAACTACACAAGTTTCGACCGCAGCCAGCTGGGTAGAGAGGCATGCGCAGGGACGAAGCTAGTGAAGCAAAATGGAACAACCCTAAACCCTAAACCCTAAACCCTTACAGCCACCTGTCTTCCATGGCACCGGCTGCGGCAACGGCACGACGACATCTTCAAAGGCCCCGGGGGGCCCTCATGTGACTTCGGACTCTACTTGGAGGTTCATGGTACCTATTAACCAATCTTAACTGCACTTATAACCTATTTAAAGCCCCTTACGTGCCCTAATATGGCTATAAGTACAGTTATAAGTACAGTTATGATTGGTTAATAAGTACCATGAACCTCCAAGTAGCATCACCTCCGCATCCAAAACTTGTCGCTAGATGTCGGTACCTCCAAACACCCGATTAGCAATGCTCCTTCGCACGTTCTCTGCAAACCGTAGATTTGCTTCCCTACCTGTTGAAACCGTTGCAGCGTGAAGACAAAGGACCGCAAGACACAAATAGCCGGGTTCATTGCAAGCAGATACCCTTCAATTTGTTAGCCACCGTTTTATGGACTCCTCACCGCCAAAAGGCTCACCACCGAAAAATCTGGAGACTGTTGTGGGACTTAGGGTTCTAGGATTTTAGGATTGAAGAAAGTCGACGTGAGATTGGACGTGTCCTAAACTTCGTGCGAAGGTCGTCAAAATCGTGGTGCGTTGCAGCAACGGCCATTGCTGATTCTGAACAAGGGTTTGCACCAACTGATCTCTCATATTTCATATTCCAAAAACATTGCTTCACATTGGTATCAGCGTGTGCAAAAGAGACAGGTTGGTGGAACCTTGAGTCGTTGCTTTCGTCGTCATGTGCCACATGCCACATGCGGCTGCGAGCAGTGTCCATATCCATGGTTTTCGAAGCAAGCAAGCAAGCAAGCAAGCAAGCAGGCAGGCAGGCAACAAGCAAGTTCATTGCTGTCGTTCGAAACAGTTGCTTTGCTTGTGGGAGTTCGACATTTGGGTCGACGATGGTCGACGCCAATGGAGGCGTCTGGACCAACGACGATTTTCCAGACCTGGGTGACCTTACAAAACGGCACATGTGGACCGGAGGACACTGCCATGCAGACTCGCAAAAACAAACTACCACCTACCAACGATGACAAGCATGATGATGATGATGAACATCATCATGCGGAAGATCCTTGCCTTATTGAATAACAGAGTTGCGTTCGACCTGTACTGAGAGTCAGCTGGGAGTGAGCTGACCTTGATTACTGCATCTTGGCACAAAACTCAACGGACACCTATCAGCATCCTGCCGCATTTGTTCAACGGGTCAGCCACCACGAACATTTTTCACGCTCCATCGAAGGCTGATCTGTACAAGCGATTTTGCGCAATGTACGCCGCGACCTTGGGAATACCCACCTCTTCTTCCAAGTCACCATCGCCAGCAGCGGCCGCGCGGATCCGCGTGGAGGACTTGCCCGTGTCCTTGCCACGAACCACGTGAAGGGAACCCGGCCAGGGCCGCGATCGGAAGCCCCGCTCGCAAGCTTCGATGCGCGATTCGGATCCTGGGCGATTCACCACCAGCAGCACGTGGAGGCCCAGGGCCACTTTCCTCCGAAGCCACCTCCAGCTCGCCACATCGGCCCCCACCAAGAAGAAGGCCTCGTAGTTGCCAGGCAAGCGCCGCACGAAGGAGGACTGCACACCTTCCAGGTCCATGGCCGCGGTGTCGCGGTAAGCCTCACACAAGTCCACGGTGGCCCCCGCAGCTTCGAGCATCGCGGCGCGGTGCGCCACGCCAACACAGAGCTGCCTGAGCTTTCCGGCCTCGTGGGAGTCGTGACACGGCGAGAAGACCACCGTCACCTTGTCGAAGCCCAGCTCCTTCTCTTGCCAACGACGTGTCATGAACGCAACACTGGACCGGGGACCATCCAAACTAGAGGGTTTTCCGGCCTATTTCGGCCACTGATCAGAAGTTTCGGAGGTGCAGAAATTGGGTGACTCATGCTGTCTCACAGCCCCCGCCTCCTTCACGGCATTCACGGCGGATTGAGCCGTCGCCAGGTGCCCAGCATGCACGGGAGAGAAGGTGCCATTGAAAAAGACAGCCGCTCCCTTTTGCCCTGGCTCCAATGCTGGGCACTGAAGCGCCATGCCCGACTCTTCTGTCCCGTGGAAGTAGGTGCTGTAAGCCTCCAGTTCCACTCTTGGGCCTCCCGCAAAGCAGTTGGCCAGACAGCAGCACGCCCGGATCTTCTCACAGTCCAAGAACACCGTGGCGGCCTTGGAGAAGCACGTCGCAATCCTCGCCAGCCTCTCCGGAGTCAAGCTGCCAGGGTGGTCGAACTTCTGGGCAGCCCATGCTCCGATGCCGGTGGCAAGATGGGCAAGTGCGGTGGGCGTGGCTCGCACCTCCTCCTCGCTGAAGGGCCAGGAGGCGGCAAGGTACTCTTCGAGGCGGTCCACCGCCGCGCCCCACTGGCCCACCAACTCGCCGTCGTCGCTGCCCATGAAGACGAAGAGCAGGTCGTAGATTCGGGGGCCCTGGGTCATGGTCTCTGTGTCACAGATGCGTATCCGGGAGCCATCGGGGCTCAGCATCAGATTCTTGGGCTGGAAGTCCCCGTGGATCACCTGCCGGGGCAGGGCATCCAAGGCTGCCACGTCCGCCTCCCTCAGCTGCCTGAGACACTGCTCCAGAGGTTCAAGGATCGGCCTCACGTCCGCTGGCGCAGCTGAGGGTTGAGGGTTCAGACTTTGAGGGTTTTGGCTTTTGGGGTTTTGGCATTTTGGGATTTTAGGGTTTAGGGCTTAGGGTTTAGGGTTTAGGGTTTAGGGTTTAGGGTTGAGGGTTCAGGGTTTAGGGTTGAGGGTTCAGGGTTTAGGGCTTAGGGCATAGGGTTTAGGGTTTAGGGTTGACGGTTTAGGGTTTAGGGTTGAGGGTTTAGGGTTTAGGGTTTAGGGTTTAGGGTTTAGGGTTTAGGGTTCAGGGTTTAGGGTTTAGGGTTTACGGCCTCAGGTCCGCTGGCATCGTTGTTGAGGCCATGGACTTGTGCAGGTTCGCCTGGGCCGCATGAAAGCTTGCGACAGCGGCGTGGTACTTCAGGCCCTCGATGCTCGTGCCACTTGCACGCAATGCAGTGTGCAAAGCACCAAGCGTGACGGGCAGCTTGTATGAGCATTCACTCACTGGAGTGTACTTGTCCGATGCAAGGGACTGCTTCTCCTCAAAGCATGGCACAAGCATCCACCTTCGTCCACGATCCCCGTCCACCAGAAGCTCCCCCGAAGCTGTGGAGAAGTATCCGCCAATGGATACCGACGTCGGCACGAAGCCGGCCGCAGAGTTCGCAGCACGCATGGAGGCGAGCACGTTGTCGGAGTCCTTCGAGTCTCCGAAGATGCTGCCCATGAACAACCGCGTGCTGTCTTTGAGCTCCATGATGTACTTGGGCATGCCATGTTCGGTCAGCAGCAAGGTTACGCCACAGTCGTCCGCTAGTTGCCCGAAACTTCTCAACACTCGTTGCACCTCCTCTGGTGCGGTCTGCAGCTTCTCTCGACGCATGCAAGATGAAGTTCGGACACCTTCGGGCGTAGGACCACTTGCGAGCGTGCGGTCCGTTCAGACAACGGTCCACTCCCTGTCAGATCGCGTCCATTCAAAAAACAGGCCTTAACATTGATGCACTCCTCCATACAAGACCACGACAGTTCGCACTTGATATAAGCGACGATTGATCTGATTCTAATGGCCATAACACGCTGATAGGATATGCCTGCGGCTGATTTTCGACTGGAGTCTGGCATGACCTGGCTAACGCCGGTGCGATGATAAGCATGGGCGGTTTGAAAAACAGCCTGATGTTCTATCGCTCAAGTTGGAGGATGTGGCCTAGAAATGAAATTCTCGAGGCCAGAATACACTCTGAGAGAGAGAGAGAGAGAGAGAGCAGGCTCAGGGAGTCAGTTTATGTTTTTGTCGGGACAGGTCCCTGATGTTGAACTAATGTCAAACTTTATTATAGTTTAAAAGTTATAACATTCATGATTCCCCACATCTTTGTGTGGGGTTCTTACTTCCTTTTGGTCCTCTTCCTCCTCCTTCTCCTCCTCCTCCGCCTCCTCCTCTTCTTCACTACACACCATGCGCACCATACACCACGTCACACTAAACGCACCATGCCACTACACGCATCATGCACCATACACCACTCACCACACACTATACGCACTACAATGCACCATGCACGATTGCAAGCACTTCAACCACACGCGCGACAGCACCATGCACCATGCACCATGCACCACGCACCACGGCCACACACAAGGGGCGCGGGTCAAAATGTGTTGGCATGTGTGATACCGCTTACAAGCATCCGAGGTTCCGATGCGCGGAGGCAGCCTCACCGACGTCGACGAAGACTTCGGTGTGAAGCTTTGCCAAGGCATTTGTGGACTGCTGTCGACCATCTGCACAAATGCTGATGGTGATTTTTGCTCAGAGTCGCACCTGGGTAGCACGTATTATTTGCATGTGTGGGGCCCGGAGGGCGTGCTGTGCAGAAAGACATTTTGTCAAAACTGAAATAAACGAGCCACCACTCTTCAGTGCGTTGAGGCAGAGCGGTTTCCCAGAACCCAGGCTGAACACCGGCCGGGCCCCGTCAGAAGGGGTCCGAAAGACGGGGTCCGTTGGACGGGCCCTGCCTTTTGGCTGGCATTCCCTTACCTCATTCGTGACAAAAGAAGGTTGAGATAGGCTGAAGTCTGGCGACCGTTGGTCTTGGATTTCCCTTCTTTGACAGGCCTGGTTTGGCGGGCCCCTTTTGGCGGGCCCCTTTTGGCGGGCCCCTTTTGGCGGGCCCCGTCTGGCGGGCCCCATCTGGCGGGCCCCGTCTGGCGGGCCCCGTCTGACGGGCCCCGTCTGGCGGGCCCCCCACTCCCAACAGAAGTCGGGTATTGCAAGAAGCTTGTATTCATTGACTTTATTAAAGTTCGTGCAAAGATAGCCAGGTATTGTATGTGGTATTTCTTTATACATATATGTATATATACATATATGTGTGCATATATGAAGATATATATACATATACATATACATATACATATACATATACATATACATATACATATACATAAACATATACATATACATGTACATATACATATACATATACACATACATACACATATACATGTACATGTACAAACACATATACATATACATGTACATGTACATATACATAAACATATACATATTATATATTTAGAAATTCATGTCTAATCCCCTGCGACGGGTCCCGTCTGACGGGCCCCGTCCCACGGGCCCCGTCCAACCGGCCCAATTTGATGTCGACCTGCAACAATATGTGAATCTGAATCTTGCATTCATTGACACACTGTTGCTGCTCTGGCCAGCGCGCACTTGTCGGGGCCCGTCGGCGGGACCCGTCCGACGGGTCCCGCGACGGGTCGCGTCAAGTGGAAGCATCATTTACAGGGGCTTTAAAAGCAAATAAGAAACAAGAAGGTAGACCTGACTTGACCCAGAGTAGTGGCGCACCAAACGATGGGGGTTCGCCAGACGGGGCCCGCCAGACGGGCCCGCCCAAACGAGGTATCCTAGCAAATCCAATCGAAAGCTCAAGCTCGATCTGCAGACACCCAGAAGGTGTCCAGAAGGTTTTGCAGCTGGTTTGCCACCTCCAAGAAGCGTTCCGGGTCAAAAGAAATCAGTTTCTGCAGCTAGTGGAAGAAATCCTGAAAGCCAAATAAGTGGCCACAGGTTTGGCCGCCAAACACGCATGTGGCGCAATAGGTACGCTCTTGGACGCAAAGTCAATGTCTGGCTAAAGTGACGTTTTGTTTTCTCATTTTTGTTGTGTGGTGATGCTCTTTGCTTCGACAGCTTCCTGTCTTACTTTGTTGCAATAGACCGGCCCACTGTGCTGCTGATGTGGTAAGAGGCGTCCGCTTTAAGAAAATGAGGTCCGGATTTTTGGCTCACACCCAAGTGCATGCTTCAGAATGGATGCCCTGTCTTGCCGGTGAGCCTCCTCAAAGCCCTGGATGCTTGCCTCTGTTCGCTCTACGTGAGAAAAAAGAGACCGGATGGAATCTGCCATGAAAAGAACAGTCTTTCACCATTCCAATGGGAATCCAATTTTTTTTCTGAGAGTCAAACTGTGTCTGTAAATAGCTGTTGGCAAGCTAATAGCTCTTTACAGATGTGTTTGATCGCTTCGATGCAGAAGCACCCGAGCAAAAAAATTTATGTGATCTTTTCATCTTGCCAATTTGTTTACTCATGATTCTTCATTGCGCGTGCAATTTCTTTCTGAGATGTTCTCGTTTTACTCACGCCTTGATTTGCGGAGCTTGTGTGACACTTGTGCATGCGCGACTTGCTCCTTCAATTGCAAGTGTGGCAACATGACATGTTTGTGCAAATGTAGCAACATAATCAGTTACAATGAACAGATGACACAGCATCACGTATTTGTTGCAGTGCATGCTAAATCTGGACATTCCAATTCGTGTCCCAAATGAGATCCAAAATCGTATCCAAATCGTATCGAAAATATTCATTTTCCAATGTGGCGAAGGATTAATGAATACGATTCTGGGTACGATTTGGAAAACCATTTTGGGCACGGTTCGGGATGCCATTTGGGATATGGGGAAGAGGGAGCGGGTTTCGAGGGGACGGAGCTGGAGGGTAGAAGTCCAAAATCCAAATCGTATCCAAATCGTATCTGTTCTGGGCTCGACAGCCCCGCTGAGCTGCAGGTCTGTTGGTTTTTCCTGCAGAAAGGAGTCACGCCTCAAGCTCTTGGGAAGTTGACCAACGACATCTTCTGTGGTTGCGCAGAGTCGCCTGCTCGGCATTGCAGCATGAGACCTTTGGCGGGCTTGGATTTTGGACGGCGGAGGCATTTAAGCGTGCTGCGCCGGCCCGGAACTTAAGTTGCCATGCGCTCAATAAAGAAGAAGATACAGGGAAAGGCCGATGCCAGCGAAAGCCTTGTGAACGTCAGTTCGTCTTCTCCATTGAGGTGCATGTTGAGGTTTAAATGGTTGGGAGCGACGCAGAGGGCTTCTCAGGACTTTCTCACGCCCGTCGAAATCTTTGAAAGCTCAGGATCATCGAAGCCTTATTTGAGGCCCGTCGAGAAGTCTGAAATTAAAACTTGCGGCAGCAAGAATAGCTTTTGCAGGATCATCTTCAGCGGTCGAGGCCCCTTCGAGGTCCGTCGTGATGTTTTGAATAGAGTGAGAATGAAGAGGACTTGGAGCCAGCTGCGGCTTAAAATTCTTTTCACATGAATGAAGAAAGGCAGCCAGGGTTCGTCCGGGCCTCGAGGCCTTGCGGGGACCCCTCTAATAGTATTATAAGCCCGGGTCCCCGAGGCCTCGTAATCTTGCAAGGTAAAGGGGTTTTGGGATTTTGTCGAGGCCTCGCGAGGCCTCGAAAGGCCTCGAAACCCCATGAGTGAGGCCTCGGGAGGCCTCGGAAGGCTTCGAAACCCCATGACTGAGGGTTCGGGAGGCCTCAGAAGGCCTGAGGCCTTGCAATATCGCGTACACACACATGTTTGCAAAAGTTGCCAGTTTGCGCGACTCCAAATCTGGGGTCGAAAAATCTCAACAATTCTGGCTTCGCGTGCGAGGGCCTCCCCTGTGCACGTTTCTCTCATGTGATCTCTTCCACCAGAAAGCTGCCTGCGGCGGTCGTGATTCTCAGGTTTCCGCTTTGAGCACTTGTCTGTGGGCCCCGAGTGGAAAGCGCGAGATGAGATGAGCCTAAAAATAGAAGAATTCGCGGCCCCAAAATTGGGGCCGCCAGGTGGCCCCAATTTTGGGGTCGCGGTTTCACAACCCCTATATTTAATTTCAAATTGTATTACAGGAACTGGGTCCATTTCGCGGCCCCATTTTTGGGGCCGCGAGACGGCCCCGTTTTTTGCCCCGAATTTGCGCCCGTGCAACCGGATCTCGTGGGCTGCGCCCCTGCCCTTGTTCCAGTAACTTTGGACAGCGTCATCCTAAGCGCACGGGGCTTGTCCGAAGCAGCTGCATGCGCGTCTTTGTAATCTTGCAGTGAGGCAGAACTGCAACTGTGGAGGCCCATCCTGGCGAAGCCAGAATTGCTTGTGTTTTGCGGGCCTGAAAGTGGGGTCGCCCGACAGCCCCGCTGAGCTGCAGGTCTGTTGGTTTTTCCTGTGGAAAGGAGTCACGCTTCAAGCTCTGGGAAGTTGACCAACGACATCTTCTGTGGTTGCGCAGAGTCGCCTGCTCGGCATTGCAGAATGAGACCTTTGGCGGGCTTGGGTTTTGGACGGCGGAGGTATTTAAGCGTGCTGCGCCGGCCCGGAACTTAAGTTGCCATGCGCCCAATGAAGAAGAAGATATAGGGAAAGGCCGATGCCAGCGAAAGCCTTGTGAACGTCAGTTCGTCTTCTCCATTGAGGTGCATGTTGAGGTTTAAATGGTTGGGAGCGTTCACTTGGCTTACACGCAACATCATCTTCGAGCCTCAGACTTTGCTGAAGGCTTCCAAGCCTC